CTCTCCCGCCTCCCCACCATGCTCTCCCGCCTCCCCACCATGCTCTCCCGCCTCCCCACCATGCTCTCCCGCCTCCCCACCATGCTCTCCCGCCTCCCCACCATGCTCTCCCGCCTCCCCACCATGCTCTCCCGCCTCCCCACCATGCTCTCCCGCCTCCCCACCATGCTCTCCCGCCTCCCCACCATGCTCTCCCGCCTCCCCACCATGCTCTCCCGCCTCCCCACCATGCTCTCCCGCCTCCCCACCATGCTCTCCCGCCTCCCCACCATGCTCTCCCGCCTCCCCACCATGCTCTCCCGCCTCCCCACCATGCTCTCCCGCCTCCCCACCATGCTCTCCCGCCTCCCCACCATGCTCTCCCGCCTCCCCACCATGCTCTCCCGCCTCCCCACCATGCTCTCCCGCCTCCCGCACCATGCTCTCCCGCCCTCCCCACCATGCTCTCCCGCCTCCCCACCATGCTCTCCCGCCTCCCCACCATGCTCTCCCGCCTCCCCACCATGCTCTCCCGCCTCCCCACCATGCTCTCCCGCCTCCCCACCATGCTCTCCCGCCTCCCCACCATGCTCTCCCGCCTCCCCACCATGCTCTCCCGCCTCCCCACCATGCTCTCCCGCCTCCCCACCATGCTCTCCCGCCTCCCCACCATGCTCTCCCGCCTCCCCACCATGCTCTCCCGCCTCCCCACCATGCTCTCCCGCCTCCCCACCATGCTCTCCCGCCTCCCACCATGCTCTCCCGCCTCCCCACCATGCTCTCCCGCCTCCCCACCATGCTCTCCCGCCTCCCCACCATGCTCTCCCGCCTCCCCACCATGCTCTCCCGCCTCCCCACCATGCTCTCCCGCCTCCCCACCATGCTCTCCCGCCTCCCCACCATGCTCTCCCGCCTCCCCACCATGCTCTCCCGCCTCCCCACCATGCTCTCCCGCCTCCCCACCATGCTCTCCCGCCTCCCCACCATGCTCTCCCGCCTCCCCACCATGCTCTCCCGCCTCCCCACCATGCTCTCCCGCCTCCCCACCATGCTCTCCCGCCTCCCCACCATGCTCTCCCGCCTCCCCACCATGCTCTCCCGCCTCCCCACCATGCTCTCCCGCCTCCCCACCATGCTCTCCCGCCTCCCCACCATGCTCTCCCGCCTCCCCACCATGCTCTCCCGCCTCCCCACCATGCTCTCCCGCCTCCCCACCATGCTCTCCCGCCTCCCCACCATGCTCTCCCGCCTCCCCACCATGCTCTCCCGCCTCCCCACCATGCTCTCCCGCCTCCCCACCATGCTCTCCCGCCTCCCCACCATGCTCTCCCGCCTCCCCACCATGCTCTCCCGCCTCCCCACCATGCTCTCCCGCCTCCCCACCATGCTCTCCCGCCTCCCCACCATGCTCTCCCGCCTCCCCACCATGCTCTCCCGCCTCCCCACCATGCTCTCCCGCCTCCCCACCATGCTCTCCCGCCTCCCCACCATGCTCTCCCGCCTCCCCACCATGCTCTCCCGCCTCCCCACCATGCTCTCCCGCCTCCCCACCATGCTCTCCCGCCTCCCCACCATGCTCTCCCGCCTCCCCACCATGCTCTCCCGCCTCCCCACCATGCTCTCCCGCCTCCCCACCATGCTCTCCCGCCTCCCCACCATGCTCTCCCGCCTCCCCACCATGCTCTCCCGCCTCCCCACCATGCTCTCCCGCCTCCCCACCATGCTCTCCCGCCTCCCCACCATGCTCTCCCGCCTCCCCACCATGCTCTCCCGCCTCTCTCCTTGCGCCACCGCTTTCCTCTACTTGCTTCCGCAAATCCCCCAAATCCCCAATTATCCAGTCACTCCCATCACCAGAGTGTGATTACTTGCTCGACCTTTCATCTTCTCTCCAAAGTGTGATTAGGCAGGCCGAATGCTGCCCCTCCCTTCCCCACGCCATTTCCCTTACCCAGAACCCCCGACCCCCTCCACTCGCTGATACCCCTCAATATTCTGTTCCCCCTTCCACCCCCTGATCCCCTCCTCCCGTTCGCCCTCCCTCCCCTCTCCCTGCTGTCTACAGGAGCCACTGGGGGGAGCCCATGCCGACCCTGTCAAGACCTCCCTTGCCATCCGATCTGCTATTCTCGCCAACATGAAGGTTAGTGTTTCTTTCCAACATCCGGGTGGTACGCGGAGAACGAGTGTCGCACCCGTCCCCCTGTGCTCAGCCCCCCTCTGCGTCTTCCCTGTTCAAACCTTCTTCCCTCACCCCTCTTTCCTCTGCCAACCATGCTCTCCTCTCCTCTCATCTGGTGCATGTCATCCACCCCTTTCAAGAGCTTTTGAGACCCGTTAGCTAGAGGAGCTGATGCTTCTTCTCGAGCCAGAGGAGCTGATTCAGCAGCAAGTGGCAAAACCGTCCCATCCCCCGTACTCACCCTTCCCATCTCCCGCCCACCTGTCTCATCCCCCTGGCCCCCCTCGCAGAAGCTGCTGAAACTGAGCAGGGAGGAGGTGATTCAGCAGCGAGTAGGGAACCCCCTCTGATCATCCATCTTTCACATCCCCCGCTTCTCCCTCCCCCTTGCAGGAGCTTCTGAAGCTGAGCAAAGGGGGGCTGATTCAGCAGCGGGTGGCAAGTTTCTCTGATCATCCACCCTTCCCATCTCCCACCCACCTTTCTCACCCCCCTCCCTTTCCCCCCCCTTTGCAGGAGCTGCTGAAACTCAGCAAGGAGGAGGTGATACAGCAGCGGGTGGGCAAGTTCCGAGGCATAGGCGGCTTCACAGAGGGCGTGGCGGTCAACCCGGCCAAGAAGCGTGCCTTCAAGAAGCGAGACAAGCCCGTCCCCTTGCACTCCTCCCCCACCTCTCTCTCCTTCTCCCCTCTCAAACCCTCTCTTCCCTCGCCCTTCTTTCCTCTGCCTCGCCCATCCCTCCTCTCCTCTCCTGCCTGTTGGGTGTTCCCCCTCCCCTCTTTCCAGGAGCTGCTGAAACTGAGCAAGGAGGAGGTGGTACAGCAGCGGGTGGGCAAGTTCCGAGGCATAGGCGGCTTCACAGAGGGCGTGGCGGTCAACCCGGCCAAGAAGCGCGCCTTCAAGAAGCGAGACAAGCCCGTCCCCCTCCGCTCCTCCCCCACCTCTCTTCCCTCCCTGACTCGCCCTTCACTCACCCGTCTTTCCTCTGCCATCCCTCCTCTCCTTTCGTCCTGCCTTCCTCATCTCTCCTCCCACCTGGCCCCTTTTCCCCCTCCCTCCTGGCAGGAGCTGCTGAAGCTGAGCAAGGAGGAGGTGATTCAGCAGCGGGTGGGCAAGTTCCGAAGCATAGGCGGTTTCACAGAGGGCGCAGCGGTCAACCCGGCCAAGAAGCGCGCCTTCAAGAAGCGCGACAAGCCCGTCCCCCTGCGCTCCTCCCCCACCTCGCCCTTCTCCCCTCCCCGCTCCTCCTCCCAAGTTAATTCCAAGCCCGTTCCCAGTAAAGCCGAGAGCAACAATTAGGGGAGGTACCACACCACCTGATGCTGCATGCTGAGGGTCAGAGGAGTTGACTTTTGAGTCGACTCAAAAGTCAACTCCCAAGTCAACTCCAAGCCTGTTCCCAGTAAAGCCGAGAGCAACAATTAGGGGATTTACCACCTGATGCTGCAGGCTGAGGATCAGAGCACTGCTGTAGCAGGTGCTCCTTTTAAAAAGTGTGTTTGTTGAACGACTTTGACTAAATTGTGTTCCAAAATATGAAATGATTGTGGGGACAGCTGGAGTGGTTGGTTCGGGGTGGAAAGGGGGGATAAGAGTACGGTGTGTGAAGATTCGGTTGTTGAGCTGATTGTATAGCGTATACAGAATCTTGGGTTGCTGTTTTAATTTGTCCTTTTTATGTACTGTATGTATACATTGTGTGGAGCCTGCGCAGATGCATACAGATTCACCTTTATTATAGGGAGTGCAAGAGGATCTCATTACTAAGTTATAGGTGATTTATTTGGTGGCCCGTTCCACCTTTGCACTGTAGTGGTTATTTTGACTGTAGAGCTTGCACGTGTGCAAATGGAAACACCTTGGTCCTGCCGACGGCAACATACTGCCAGCCAGTGGTATGTTGACCGCCAGGGAACCGAACCCACCGCCGACCACTTCTCCAACATCATCAACGAGTCTCACTCACTGAGTGCGATGACTCAGATCAGAACTGAGTGCCTCAACTCTCACTCACCCGTCTCTCGTCTCGTAAAAATGCTACTACAGCAAGCCCATTTCTGAAGCGAATCACACCGAACTCCATCACTAGGCCTTTCTCATCTTGGTGAGCCGATTCTGATGGCGTTCGCTAATTCTGAACTCGTGAGTCCGCTGCTCGAGGGTGAATGGCATACCCGCGTTCTTACGAGTCTCGGACTGATCGTGGTCACTCTTTTCGACGGTAGCCGTGTCGACAAGAGCGAAACATACGGCCCGATAATTGCGGAGGTCGCGAGCCACTTCGCGAACAAAATCGACACAGGAAGAGTTACATTCTACGAGCTGGACGTCGAAAAATTTCCCGCCGTGGCCGTGGAAAACGGCGTTGACGAAACGCCCACGGTGCTGCTGTTCCGACAAGGGGTTATTGTCAAATCCTTTGTTAACGTTGCTTCCGCACGCTTGCTCCAGGGTGAGATCGACGAGTGCGTTTGACGGGACGCGGGACGGGATGTCCTCTCCTCCTTGCTCGTGTCGTGTGATTTTTTCGCAAAATTCAACCTGTGAGATGTTATTTACTTGCCTGGTACAGCACCATCGAATTTGGGCGCTGTGATACTATGCGCAATCAGAAATGCAACATGATGCAAACACCCTAAACCGTTCTACACTTCTGGACAATGATGCCACTTGTGTTACATTAGAAATCTCATGCCAACGCTTCCATTTGAGAGAATGCGCCTCTTACAAATTAGAGATGCATATCACCAAATCAATGAATCATAGCCTGCCATACTGGTTATTAATTCCAGTGCATATCATATCATATCATCATATCGTGCTTCTCCTATTCTCCTGTTTAGGCGTTCTTAACGAAGTCCACACCAGCCTGGATAGACTCGAGGAGCTCGGGCAGGGCGCGCTGAATGGCCTTCTCTTCATAGGGGAGAAGATCGCCCAGGGGAAGGATCTCCTCTGCTCCATTGGGACCCAGGCGCACCTGCAGGGGAACAGAGGGGAACAGAGGAGGTCGAGACTTGGTGAGCTCGGGTAGGGCGCGCTGAATGGCCTTCTCTTCCAAGGGGAAAAGATCACCCAGGGGAAGGATCTCCTCCGCTCCTTTGGGACCCAGGCGCACCTGCAGGGGAACAGAGGGGAGTGAGGGTGCAGAGAGTCAGAATCTATTGAAGGCAGAGGAACCAGAGATGAGAGGAGATCAAGGTTTGGTGAGCTCTTAAGTGCACTCCACGACATCAGAGGCGAGAGGGAGGGCTTACGAGTTAATGCATGCAACCAGAGGGTAGCAGAGAGCACAAGACAGTACCTTGGAGGCAAAGAAGCGCGCCTCTGTGAGCTTTGACTCCACATAGGTGCACTCAACGACGTTGGGGGCGCCGTTCATAGCCTTGAGGAGCGAGTCTGCGAACACTGCCGCTGCGTAACTGATGGTGGTGGTGGGGTGGGAAGCGGAACGCGGGGGGGTGAGTGATGTCAGGAAAAAAAAAAAAAAAAAAAAAAACTAACAGGTGTGACATCGAAAGAGTGGCACACACGAGGAGAGTGGCACTCACGCCATGGAGAGCGTGGCGGAGCCCTTGCCCGCCTTGGCCTGCACCACCTCCGTGCCTCCGTCCTGCGTGCGCTTGGTCAGCTGATCCCTCTCCTCGTCCGTCAGCTCCACGAAGGGCGTCGCCTGCAGAAGAGAGGGGAGTGTGGAAGGGAGGGGAAATAAGAGCAGCATGGAGGCATCAAACGAATCTGACAGGAAGTTACACACACAAACACTCAGGTTACGCACAAATTCGCTTCACAAATCGAGATAAAAATTGGAGGCGTCATAGAAATTCTGCGTGGGAACACGCATCTTTCGAGACTCTGCACTGACCTGGGAGAAGAACGGATATTGTTTCTGGGTCCATTCAGAAATCACAGCCGCAGTTTTGTGGACTCTGCACTGACCTGGGAGAAGAGCGGAATGATGGTGGCGCCAGCGTGGCCGCCCACCACCGGTATCCTCACATCTGTGACACAACCACACATGGCACCAAGGGGAACAGACGAGAGAAGAGAGCATATGAGTGACTGAGTGGGCGAGGGAGTGAGTGGGTGAGTGAGTGGGAGGGAGAGGCACCGAGCACGTGAGGGAGTGGGTTGAGAGAGGAACAGTGGGCAGTAGACGAGAACAAACCCCCAACCCCCACCTTTTTTTTCCTTCCATCCTCAGCTGCATATTCCAGAACCCGAGTTGTCATTCCCCCCACCTTCCGCGTCCCGCCCCTTAACCCATTCCCGCCACCCTTCCGCGTCCCGCCCCCTTGACCTTCCCCCCCAACTTCCGCGTCCTGACCCTCGATCCATTCTTCCCACCTTCCGCGTCCCGCTCCTTCACGCATTCCCCTCACCTTCCGCCCTTGGCCTGCGCGTAGAAGGTGCGCGAGCGCACGATGTCAAGGGTCGTGATGCCGAAGAGCTTATCAGTGACTGCTCAGTAGACTAGACCCAGGCGCAACCCACCCCAGATGCTCGTTCCCCTCACCTCTAGCACCCCACCCTAGTGGCGCAGTTCCCCCACCCATGTTGCTCATTCCCCTCCCGCTCACCTTCCGCGTTGAGCCCCTTGGCCTGCGCGTAGAAGGTGCGCGCGCGCACGATGTCGAGAGTGGTGATGCCGAAAAGCTTCTCAGTGACTGCTCACTAGACTAGACCCAGGTGCAACCCACCCCAGATGCTCGTTCCCCTCACCTCCATCACCCCACCCTAGTGGCGCAGTTCCCCCACCCATGTTGCTCATTCCCCTCCCCCTCACCTTCCGCGTTCAGCCCCTTGGCTTGCGCCCTGCCCCGAAGAGCTTCTTGGGGATAGGGGTTACTCAAGAGCAACCCAGCCAAGTGGCTCATTCTTCTTACCTTCCGCGTTGAGCCCCTTGGCCTGCGCGTAGAAGGTGCGCGCGCGCACGATGTCGAGAGTGGTGATGCCGAAGAGCTTCTTGGGGTCGTACGTGCCCGCCTTGGCGAACACCTCCGCCGCGATGGGCACGGTGGAGTTCACGGGGTTGCTGATCATGCCCACCGCCGCCTGCAAGCAATCAAAATGACATGGGGAACAGTGGTACGGGTGAGTGTGTATTGGGTAACTGTTTAAGGGGTAACACTGCCCGCCTTGGCGAACACCTCGGCCGCGATGGGCACGGTGGAGTTTACGGGGTTGCTAATCATGCCCACCGCCGCCTGCAAGAGTAGGGGAAACTCCCATTGAGTTTCAGAGCGAGATCTTACCGCGCGCTAACGCGACTTATTCACCGGGGAAAAATGAGTTTCAATGTGCCTTAAGCCGGCTCAAACCACCACCACCTGGAGGCTTATGCGTGTTAATGCGAGTTAAACCACAGGCCTTTCAAGATGCCGGTTCACTATAGAGTAGCTCAACGCCGGCCTAGATCTTACCGAGCGATAATGCACTTAATATTTACCGTGGAGCAGTGCTTGGAGTTGGCTTCGCACAGGAACTTCACGATGCCCGCTCACTATCCCAGCGACTCGAAGCCGGCCTAGATCTTTCCGAGCAATAATGCACCTAGATCTTACCGTGGGGCAGTGCTTGGAGATGGCTTCGCACAGGCCCTTCACGATGCCTGCGTTGATGTTGAACAAGTCTTGCCGCGTCATGCCCGGCTTACGTGGCACGCCAGCGGGGATCAGCACCAGATCGCTGCCCTCCAGAGCTCCGGAAAGCTCGTCGTTGCCGAGATAGCCCTTCGCCTGTTTATCGGGACAGAATGATAACGAGGACAACGTGTACTGAGTTTCATTGTAACTGTTAAGATGTGAACTCCTAAGGGGAGCGATCTAATATTTTACCAACAGGTTCCAGGAAAATACCGAGTCGAATCGAATTATCTGGATCAAAAAAGTTGCTTTGGCCAGCAGGGTGAATAAAAGCTTCAGTAAACAACAATAAATCATAATGGAAGTGGCGAGCAAGGGGGAGAGGATTAATCGACGTATTTTCTTCCCAAACCTTGCAGGTTGATATATCTAACGACCTGGGATCTACCTTCCGACCTTGCATCTATCTGCCGACCTGGGCGTTGGAGCAGATATGGCTGATGTCAGCAGCCACACCGTGAGTACCCGCCACATCGTACAGCGACAGATCCGTTACAAGCGGACTCGACTTCATCAGAAGACTAAGTGGCTGTCCGATGCCGCCACCAGCACCAAGAACCGCCACCTTCCGAGGCTGCGCCGAGCCTGCCGCGGAGGACAGGGCTCGGCGAGCAAGAGGGATCGCATTCTTCAGGAAGGCCATTTTAGCGGGGATGGAGTGTAGAGAGAGGATGTGATGAGGCGAAGCGGGGTGGAAGGGACGAGAGATGGAGCGGTGGTACGGGAGGCGATCAGGAAGGAGGAAAGACGCGGAGATGGCCTAGAACTGAAGAAGCAGAAATCCCTAGTGCACAATGGAGATCCCTGTGATGCGGAAAATGAGAAACCAATGGTTGGAAGGGCCTCCTTTTCTATAGAAGACGCCAGACTGTTCCTACGGTTGTGTGTTTACAGTTGATGAGCACTACAGTGTCTTTGTGATATTATATGTACTTCAGAACGCGATGAGAACCCAGGAGTTCCACGTAGGACATGCTGCGCGGAACTGGGCTCGAGTGAGCAAGCCACGTGGGATGAAGTCCCCAAAAGTCTGGGCGGAACGCGAGATTTTGGGGTCCGCACTGAGAAAAATCTGCTCGGGTGTGAACATGTGTATAGCTTCTATGCTCATGAAACTACACGATTATACACTTATATGGTGTCGATGGCGCTAATAGCAGAAAACAACAGGTGGTCTTCAATCACTGGCTGGCTGGTTGATGTTCTTGGAATGTCCGAACCGCGAATTCGCACGAGTCGCAAATGTCAAGAAAAATATATTAGGAAAGCGTGGAATTTGAGCCTGGAAAGCAACGCCCCTGTCTGACTGGCAGTCTGGCACCACCAATACCAACATTGTACCACCACTGCCAGAAACACCACCAAGAGTGGCAGCTGTTGCTGCTGGAACAGCATCAAACCATGCCAATCATCTCAGCAGCAGCGGCGGCTGAAATATCGTGCATCGGTACTCACGCTGCCTGTATCACGCTTCGTTCCCTATAGACAAACCAAATTGCATCTGGTCCCTGATTCTATTAGCTTCAAACACAATCAGCAGAAATTTCATGCCATTCACGAGAGCTTCTGAGGTCTTCCGTTTCAATCCATTCTGAGAGCTGGGAGGCACTCCATCGGTTTTTCTTCCGAGTATGTCTAAAAAACTAAGCGTTGCCCAGCATGACAGTTCAGAAGTCAATTTTGTTTTCCCCCATACTCCTACATATCGTTCTCCTGTGTATTCTACCTTGTGATTCAATGAAACGTCTCCTGAAGTTTTGAGGCATCTCAGTTTCCCTCTTCCTCCACCGTTTTTTCTCTTATCGTTCAGTGGAACGCATTACGCAGGCGCAGTACTGGCGGGAGATCAGCAGTGGCAATGGCAATGGCGCTACAATCAATGGCGATTCAACGGTGAAGAGCGTCTCCCAGAACACTAACGGCCACGATCTGACGACCAAGATCTCCAACGCTCAGGATTCCATGCCTATCTCGACAAAAAACGCCGTGATTGTCCCCAAATCGGGCTCTAAAGCAGCAGAAAACGGCGAGCGCATGAATGGCAATGGCGTGTCGGCGGCACCAAAGGCTTTGGAAGACACATTTGCTGATAAATATGGCCATTGCGACCACTTTGAGCAAGACTCAGCTGACCAAGTTGACTCCATTGACCATGTTGACTCCGTTGACCACTTAAACCCTTCCGTTGACCATTGTGAAAGTGGGAAGGGGCCAGCTGTCATGTCGGTGGCTTCCATGATGCTGGATGCGCAGGCTGACTTGCTTGACTCGCTTGAACGCCCCGAGGTGAGCTTTGACTTGCTTGACTGACTCCTGTATACTCCTCCTCCTACTGTTCTAACCCCTCTCCCCTGTATCTTGTCCCTTGCGCTCTCCAGATCCTGGGAGTCATTGATGGCCTCACACCGTTACTGATGGAGCGACCCAAGCTGGTGGTGGAGCTGGGCTGATCTGACCTGAGCTGAGCAGCTGCAGCAACTACTCATGTATTCTCCTCCCTCAACTGTCCTCAACTCTCCTCTTCCCCTGTATCCTGCCCCCTCCCATTTTCAGATCCTGGGATTTATTGACGGCCTCACACCGTTACTGATGGAGCGACCCAAGCTGGTGGTGGAGCTGGGCGCGGGCATTGGCCGCTTCACTGCTGACCTGGCATGCAGGGCCACGTGGCTCACTGCTCTTGACTTCCTGCCGCACGCCCTGGCTGCGGTCAGTCTGACTGAGTTGTGTTCTGGTGTAACTCTTTTTGAGGCCAATTGCAGGGAGTGTGCCTCCTTTGAGGTTCGCTTTGGGCAATGCTTGCAATGATTGCAAATTTTACTGGGTTTACTGGATTGACTGCATTGACTGGATTAGCCGGACTGACTGGATTGACTGCATTGACGGAAATTCACTGAATTGACCACGCTGAACTAACACACACCACCCTCCACCCTCCCCCTGGCAGAACGTGCAAGCACATGCGTGCCAGCATCCCAACGTGGACTTCGTCTGTGCTGACGTGGCAGATGCCACGTCAGCTGCTCTGCTGACGAGGCTGGCGCCCGACCTGGTGTTCTCCAATTGGCTGCTCATGTACCTCTCGGACTCCGAGGTACGGCTCTCTCAAGAGCAAAGGGTCCGAAAGTCAAGGCAAGGGCTCCTGTTATCCCACATGACTCTCTTGACTCACTTGACTTGCCTGATTCAGCTTGACTTGCTTGACTCCCTTGACCTTGACTCTTGTTATCCCCCCTTGACTTTGTTGACTCTCTCACCTCCCTATCGTCTCGCCCACTCCCCCTTCCATTTACACTCATCCTCACTTCCCCCATAACCTTTTACTCCCCACTTTTTCCCTCTGCTCCTCCCCCACCCTCCCCATCCCCCTCTCTCTCCGCTACAACCTACAGGTACACGCATTGGTGCGAGTGCTGCTCCACGCCCTGCCTCCAGGGGCGCTTTTATTCTTCCGCGAGTCGTGCCTGGAGCAGTTGACTTGCCCCTAACTTGCCCCCATCCCTCCCTTCCTCGTCCCCCATCTCAATTGACCACAGGTACACGCATTGGCGCGAGTTCTGCTCCAAGCCCTGCCTCCCGGGGGTCTCTTTTTCTTCCGCGAGTCGTGCCTTGAGCAGTCTGGCAGCCAGCACTCCCATTACCCCCTACCCCATCCCCATCTTTTCCCCAACCACCCAACCACAGGTGCACGCATTAGCAAAGCTGCTGCTGCGCGCCCTGCCCCCCGGGGGCTTATTCTTCTTCCGCGAGTCGTGCCTCGAGCAGTCTGGCAGCCAGCAGCGCCGCTCCAACCCCACCCACTACCGCCATCCGCTCTTCTACTGCCAGGTGGGCCTTAACACTTCTCCCCCACCCAAACCCTCTTCTACTGTATAGCTGCTTGCCGCTCCTGTCGCTCCAACCCCACCCACTACCGCCACCCGCTCTTCTACTGCCAGGTGGGCTTTAAGACGCCCCAAACCTTTGGTTTCGCCCTGCTTACATGTTTGGTGCAGTTGTCTTTTTTGTCACAGCCACAGCATGTCAATCTTTCGTCCAAGTCCTCATCTCGTTTTTGAGAATTCTCAAAAACCAGCGAGAATTCTAAAAAAACCAGCGAGAATTCTCAAAAAACCAGCGAGAATTCTCAAAAAACCGTTTTGCCACAGCCACAGCATGTCACTCTTTCGTCCAAGTCCTCATCTCACTGCATCACGTGCCATACTCTCGCACATGCATCGTCTCATCTCATCACATCCCATCTCACCGCATCACATTCCCATCTCACCGCATCACATCCCATCACGTGCTCCCCACGCCAAACTGCTCACACCAAACCTTCTCAGAAGCTCATCGTCCCATGCACGAGGAGCAAAACCAACAGCAGCATCAGAATATGCTTCCACTGTCCAACACACAAATCATCCACCGCATCACGCATGCCTCCCCACCATTCTTGTCACTCCAGGCCTTCTCAGAAGCTCATCGTCCCATGCATGAGGAGCAAAACCAACAGCATCATCAGGAGCAGCAGGGGCAGCAGGGGCAGCTGCAGGCGAAGCAGCAGGGCGGGGAGTGGAGGTTCAGTCTGAGGGAGATGAGGAGCGTTGCAGCGTACTCCCGAGTGAAAGGGTGCCAGACGCAGGTGTGCTGGGTGTGGCAGAAAGTGCTGCATACCACACACAAGGAACTGCACACCACCCAGAGCAAGAGGCAGGCGGGCAAGGAGGGACATGAGGGGAGCATAGAGAGCAAGACGAGCGAAGGGCAGGAGGCAAGCAAGGAGAGGGAAGGGAGCGAGGAGGCAGAGCAGTACTGCCTGGAGGGCATTCTGCGTTATGAGCACATCTACGGGCGCGGCTTCGTCAGCACTGGCGGCCGTGGTGAGTCAATTTGGTGGGGTCAACGGGAGTCAACGGGGGTCAACGGGGGTCAATGGGAGAGGGAAGGGAGCGAGGAGGCAGAACAGTACAGCTTGGAGGGCATCTTGCGCTATGAACACATCTACGGGCGCGGCTTCGTCAGCACTGGCGGTCGTGGTGAGTCAATGCAGTGGGGTCAACGGGGGTCAACGCAAGTCAGCAGTGGCCTCTCTCCCACTGAGTCATATCCCATCCGTGCTCCACTCATCCTTCTCATTTCTCCTTTCTCCTCACCCTGACTCCCTAAACCGTGAAACTGCTTGGCCCTTCCTTCCCTTCATTGCCACTCCCTCTCCCTCGTTACCTTCTCCTTCCTCTCTTACACTTTTTTTTACCCCACCTCACTGGTACTTTTGAGTCGACTTAAGAACCTCCCCACCCCTTCTCCTTCAATTCTCTTTTCCCACTTTCACACCTTCCCGACCCTTCCTCCCTGTCACCCCTCCAGCATCAACGCTCGCTCTGCTCCCGCTGCTCTCGCTGTCCCCCAAGCACCGAGTGCTGGACATGGGGTGTGGGCTGGGAGGCAGCGCGCTGCTTTTGAGGTGCCTAAAAAATTGGCCCTACTTCCCCCTCTCACACAACCTTCCGACCCCACCTTCCCTCCGCTCCTGCCAGAGTCAACGCTCGCTCTCCTCCCAGTGCTCTCGCTGTCTCCCAAGCACCGAGTGCTGGATGTGGGGTGTGGGTTGGGGGGCAGTGCTCTGCTTTTAAGGCGTCGCAAAAAATATACCCTACTTTCCCCCCTCTCACCCCACCTCCCTGTCACCCCTCCCAGCATCGACGCTCGCTCTCCTCCCGCTGCTCTCACTGTCCCCCAAGCACCGAGTGCTGGATGTGGGGTGTGGGTTGGGGGGCAGTGCTCTGCTTTTAAGGCGTCGCAAAAAATATACCCTACTTTCCCCCCTCTCACCTCACCTCCCTGTCACCCCTCCCAGCATCGACGCTCGCTCTCCTCCCGCTGCTCTCACTGTCCCCCAAGCACCGAGTGCTGGATGTGGGGTGTGGGTTGGGGGGCAGTGCTCTGCTTATGGCTGAGACCCATGGTGCAAGCGTGCATGCCATCGACCTCTCTCCTACCATGGTAATGCGCCTTACACGTGCACACATACACATACACACATGCTTGTTCACGCACAAAACGTGAGGTGTGGGCCGGGAGGGAGTGCACTGCTCATGGCTGAGACGTATGGCGCTAGCGTGCATGCCATCGACCTCTCTCCTACCATGGTAATGCGGCTTTCACATCCACACATACACATAAGCTTGCACACACGCATACACACAACACGTGGGGTGTGGGCCGGGAGGGAGTGCACTGCTCATGGCTGAGACGTATGGTGCTAGCGTGCATGCCATCGACACAGACAAGCGCACGTGCGGGCGTGCGCACACACACACAAACACACACAAATCTACCCACACATCTGTTACAAAGCCCACACGGTACAGTCTATTCCGCTTCATTCCCCTTGTACGGTTCACTACCACCATGCAATGCTGCTACATCGTTTTGCCTGCTACCACCACACAATCAAAGCCTGATTTTTTCTATCACTTTGTTGCCTCCCCCGCAGCCATCGCGCTGCACTTGGGGGAAAAAGAAGGCTTTGGTTGTGGAAGGAACTCTGGGATCGGCCTTGGGTTCGGCCGGGAAGGCTGCAAGCAAACTTGCTTGGGAGGTCGTGGATGTGTTGATCCACTATGCAAACATGTCAATTTGTTTGTAGCCCTTCCAGCCGATCCCCTGGCCAATCCCAGTGTTCTTTCCACATCGCTCTTACCCCCCTCCCCCCTCCCTCCCCCCTCCCTCCCCCCTCCCTCCCCCCTCCCTCCCCCCTCCCTCCCCCTCCCTCCCCCCTCCCTCCCCCCTCCCTCCCCCCTCCCTCCCCCCTCCCCCCTCCCTCCCCCCTCCCTCCCCCCCTCCCTCCCCCCTCCCCCCTCCCTCCCTCCCCCTCCCTCCCCCCTCCCTCCCCCCTCCCTCCCCCCTCCCCCCTCCCTCCCTCCCCCCTCCCTCCCCCTCCCTCCCCCCTCCCTCCCCCCCTCCCCCTCCCCCCTCCCTCCCCCCCCCTCCCTCCCCCCTCCCTCCCCCCTCCCTCCCCCTCCCCCCTCCCTCCCCCCCCCCTCCCTCCCCCCTCCCCCCTCCCTCCCTCCCCCCCCCTCCCTCCCCCCTCCCCCCTCCCTCCCTCCCCCCCCCCTCCCTCCCCCCTCCCCCCTCCCTCCCTCCCCCCCCCCTCCCTCCCCCTCCCCCCCTCCCTCCCCCCCCCTCCCTCCCCTCCCCCCCCCTCCCTCCCCCCCCCTCCCCCCTCCCCTCCCTCCCTCCCCCCCCCCTCCCTCCCCCCTCCCTCCCTCCCCCCTCCCCCCCCCCCTCCCTCCCCCCTCCCTCCCTCCCCCCTCCCCCCCCCCCTCCCCCCCCCTCCTCGCCTTCGCTCTATCCCAACATGCACCCTCTCCCACACCGATCTTTACTCCACCCGCTCTACCAGATCTCTCTCGCCATCGAGAGATCCCGCAGCATCCGTGCTGCGGATGCCACGTCAGCATCCACGTCAGCATCCGTGCCCGTGTTGCAGTTCGAAGTGGCTGACTGCCTGACCAGAAACTTCCCCGATGCTTCCTTTGACTGCATCTACACCCGCGACACCCTGCTTCACATCCAGGCAAGCCGGGGTTATGCTGCTTTAGACAGTCATCTAATATTCGAGTCGACAGAAAAAAATGAGTCCACTAAAGAATTTGAGCCAAATAGAAACTTTGAGTCGTCCGACAATTGCCCACGAGTGTGTTTCTATGGTTGCTGTCTATCCATGCTAAGGTCTCATATACCCCACTACATGTCTCCCACACCATGCCTCAATACATGCCACCCACACCATACCCCACTACAGGACAAACCATTCCTGTTCGCCCGTTTCCACCGCTGGCTGAAACCGGGCGGCAGAGTGCTGATCACGGACTACTGTAGCGGAAAGGACAAGGAGGAAGAGTGGTCGGAGGAGTTCAGGGGTTACGTGGCACAGCGCGGTTACCACCTGGTCACCGTCAAACGCTACAGTGAGGTATGCTTGTTTCAGAAGTGAGATGAGTACTAATTACAGCGAGGTAACAGTTCTCATACAGTCATTAAGTCGTGCACTCTCACACCAACACACCCAAGCATGTTGGTTGGTCAGTGAAAGCACATCCGAGTAAAATCTGCTCTGGGTAGAAATGCACACTAAGACGGTGCAAATGGGTTGTGGATGCCACTTCTCCATACTCCCCAACTGTCCCATTTTCGAGACGGTGCAATTGGTCACGTCTCCGTGCTCCTGATTTTGCTGCAAATGGTCCCACCTCGTTATGTGGCCCTCTGTCTGCCCTTCCGCCCCGCATCACTCTTGCAGATGCTCCAGGCAGCTGGTTTCCACGTGCTCAAGGCCGAGAATCGATCACAGCAGGTGAGGTGCAGTTTGGCAGAGTTCATCCCCACAAATCCTTGAGATGGCAGCAGGTGAGTTGGCATGGCAGCAGGTGGGATAAACCGAGAACTAAGCAATCCTTTCCCTCCTGCTGGCTGCATACCATTCACAGTTTCCATGCTGCATGTGCCCCCAGAATGCCCACGTATCTCCTTCCCATCTCAGCTTGCTGTTTATCCTCTTTCTCACTCCCCCCTCGGCCACCTTGCCTTCCTTTTGCCCTCTGCTGCTCACGTCCTTGACATCCTGGAGCAAGTGTGTGGAAAAAGCTCGGGCTTTTTCTGATACCAACTGTGGGCAGGATTCTGCATCCTTCTCGCTTTCTCCCCCCCCACTACCACGTTCCATCCTTCGCCCCTCTTCTCACCTTCCCCCATTCTCCCCCTGCTGTTCAGTTCCTTGACATTCTGGAGGAGGAGAAGGCTCGGGTTCTGTTCGATAAAAGTAGCCACGTGTCAGAATGGGTGAGTTTTGCTTCTGATCGTTGACTACTATTCTGACAATTGGCTGCAGTTTTGCGTTTTGTGACTGAATGGGAATGGGACAGAACCACCTGTGTTCAGAGCTTGCATACCATAGTACACATATATGTAATGAATTCGCATTTATCTCCTTGTTCTATCCCCCCTGCCCACTCACACACATGCACCCCAACGAACCGACCGCCAGGATGAGCAGCTGCTGGCAGGATGGACGGCCAAGATGAAGCGCGTGAGGGAGGGGGACCAGGCTTGGGGGCTGTTTCTGGTGGAGAAAAAGGAGTGAGGTGCGGTGCGGTGCGGTGAGGTGGGGCTAGGTGAGGTGCAGCGAGGCGCCACTGGTCTCATGAGTCATGACACACCTGAGGGGTATGCCAAGGGGCATGCTAAGTGGCGTGTTTCCGAGGAGGGAAGGTATTTGAGCTGCGGGGAGAGTTGATCTCCTTAGGGCATATGTGAAAGTCACACCTCACCACACCACACATGTCATGGTGCTTGTGCTACCAACCAGGAACCTTTCTTAGCAACAATAGAGCAAGTGTGTAAAATAGGGCGTGAGGATGTCAAGTGATGAGTGTACTGAGGCTGTTTGTTTTTTCTTATTTTCTCCATTAATTACGAAGCGTACCTATTGTGAAACCTCTTTCTGGGGTGCCTTGATTGTTTCGCATACAAGTTACACATCACTTTACAAAACAATAATACAGTACAGCCTGTCAGTATCGCTCACACACATCCCGAACCGTGTTCAAAAGCAGTTTCACCCAGCAAACCTCACAGCTGAAGCTAGAAAGCATGCAACGCCATGCCCCGAGACGCCCAGAGTCGTTCACTTGAAAATGTGTCCCCCTCGAAGGCGTGCCAAGAGCTGATGACTCAAAGCTGCATCCATAAATAAGGCTGTCGTGGACCTCAGAAAGACGGAGTAACCCGCAGCTGCACCACCCTTGCAGGTGCACCCTCCTTTGAGGTGCACGCACCCTTGTGGACCTTCCTTCACTTGCGCGGGCTGGCAGGTGTGGCGGTCATGGAGTCATGCACGAAGCTGCGCGCCCACTCCTCCTCTCCCCCCATCGCCACCAACTCCTGTGTACACGTATATGAGTGTGTGTGTGTGTGTGTGTGTGTGTGTGTGTGTGTGTGTGTGTGTGTGTGGATTTATGTGTGAGTGTGTGTGCCATGCCATTTTGCGCACCATGCCATGCCATGCCACCCACCCACACACATACAGCACACAAGGGAGAAGGATTTGCACCAATTCGCAACACAACGCAACGCACTGAACCATACAGCACCGTGCAGTACCGAGCCCAAACAAAAGAATCCCATTTGCTGCTAGCCCCTTCAGCAACTCTTCTCTTTCAATCTCCCCAGCTTCCCACCCTGAAAAAGGATACACATAAGGATCACTCCACGCAACAGCCCCACCAGCCCCACCAGACCCATAAGACCACCAGACCAATCAGACCCACCAGCCCCCCAGCCCCACCAGCCCCTCCAGCACCCCTCACCTGCACGAGCAGCTGCATGCCCGCCTGCTGCTCCTTCACGGGGATGGAATCATCGATGTACGCGTGCTGAATGGCCCTCGCATACGACTGCAACGCCTCCTTGCTCACCTGTGCGCGAGAGACAAAGCCGAAAGAGATTCATTCGGGAGGAGGAGGGTGGGGAAAGGACGGAGGGGATCAGATACGATGAATGCACTGGTGCACACACCGGTGCTGGATGGCCCTCCCTTGCATACGACAAATGTCGCGCTGGTTATTTCCGAACATCTTATGTTTGGAAAAGCGGGGAAACTTCCCGAACCTGTTTGGTGTTCAGGAATTTCCCCTTATAACTTTTCGAACACCGAACATGTTTGGGCAAACGTTATTCCCAAAAAAAGCGGGTCGAACATGTTCGACCCGAACGTGTTTGGGGTTTGGAAAAGTGCTCATGCCTGCTTGCAGCAGCGAGGCGACTTTTGTGCTTTGTGGGGGAGAGAGAGAGAGCAAGCACTGTTCTCACTCACCTTCTTGCCGGCCTTGTCACTGCCAGCAGCACTGCTCGACTTTGCAGCAGCGGTGGCAGCAGCAGCAGCAGCCAGGGCGGGCTTGAGTAGAGACTCTGTCACATGCTTCCGCGCCCACTGCTCCTCAGCTCCCTTGCTCACCATGTCCTGTGGAGCAGAATGGGAAGCAGCATGGGGAGACAACAAGGAAAAAGGTGAGAACGGGGAGATGAAAGGGAACAATTGAGAGCGGAGGGCGGGGGGCGCAGCGAGAGGGCATACCAGCACGAGTGCGTTGACTCCTCGGGTCTGCTCCAAAGCCGGCCCTCTCACGTCCACGTATGCAGGGAAGATGGCTCGTGCATACACCTTCAGATCGCCCTCCCTCATCCGCCCCACCCTCTCCTCCTCCTGCTGCTTCTTGCTCACAACGACAGCCTTCCCACTCTTCCTCGCTTGCTCCTTTTCTGTCACTGCTTTGCCTGCCACTGCCACTGCCCCTGCTACAGCTCCTGCTACAGCTGCTGCACCCGTTACAGCTGTCCCCTTACCAGGCGCTACAGCCGGCACCACCAGTCCCGCCAGTCCAGCTGTCTTCACGCGATTGGCTGCAGCTGTAGCAGTGGCAAGGGCTTTCTCAGCAATGGAGAGCTGTGATTGGCTGGATCCGAGCTTGCCCTCCAGCTCAGCAACCTTCTTTTTCAGCTCCGCCTTGTGCCGGTCGGCGTCTTTCGTCTGCTTGTCCAGCTCAGCGCGCAGCTGAACCACTTTAGCACCCTCCTCCTTGGCCCGTTGCTCGGCAAACGCCAGAGACGAGCGAAGGTCGGCGATCGTCGTCTCATTCTCGGCCTTGAGAGAAGCAAGCTGCTTCTCCAGCCAATCACAAGCCTCCATGTATTTCAGCTTCTCCTCCTCAGCCTTCCTCAGCTCCCCTTCCAGCCTGGATTCCACCCCTGCCAGCTCAGCAGCCGCCCGGTTCTTCTGCGCCGCCAGCTCAGCCTCACGGTTCCGAATCTGCTGCACCAGCGCGCCCTCCCGCTGCTCAAACACCGCCGAAACCTGCCGCCCGCTCTCCTCCATCCGGGCGGCCTGGGTGGCAAGGTCGCGGTTTTTCTGCAGCACGGATTCTAGTCTTGCTTTGAGCTCTGCGTTGTTCTTGAAGATTTCCGTCCGGGTCTGTGCTGCTTGCTGCAGTTTTGCTTCCAGTGCTGCCAGCCGCGCCTCCACCACCACCACCGCTGCCAGTGCCTCGTCTCTCTCCCTCTGCACAAGGGGTAATGAGGGAAGGAGAGAAGAAAGGGAAAAAAAAGGGGAGAGGCTTTAGGGTTGCTTCCAGTGCTGCCAGCCGCGCCTCCACCACCACCACCGCTGCCAGTGCCTCGTCTCTCTCCCTCTGCACGGGACAAAACGGCACATGCAAACATGGATGAGTAGGGTTGGGGAATGCACAGGAAAGCTGGCCAAGCACAAGGATGTGCGCAGGTGGGTGGGTGGGTGGGTGGGTGCCTTGACTTGCCTTGACTTTCATCCCTGCATGCGAGAATACACCCACCCTCACGCATGCACACCCACACCCACCTTCACGCCCTCAAGCCGGGCGGCATACGTCGTCTTCTCCTGCGCACTCTCCGCCTGCGCCCGTCGGAGCGCCTCCTCCCGCTCCCCCAGGGTAGCCTCTGCGGCCCTCAGCTGGACGCGCATCGCCTCTGCCGCCGCCACCTGCTGCTGCTGGCGCAATTTTGCTGACGCCAGGCTGGCTGTCAGCGATTGGTTCTCGGTGATTGCTGACTGGACCTTGGAGGCCAGCTGGGAGATGGCAGGGAAGGAAGGAAGAGGGGACAGAAAACGGGGAATGGGGGGGCAGAGAGAAAACGGGGAATGGGGGGGCAGAGAGAAAACGGGGAATGGGGGGGCAGAGAGAAAACGGGGGAGTGGAGAATGGGGAGTGCTGAGGCGCCTCAAGGCTCTCCCAGCGTGGCCTCGGCGGCTCTCAGCTGGGCGCGCATCGCAGATGCTGCCGCCACCTGCTGCTGCTGGCGTGATTTTGCTGATAAAAGGCTGGCCTGCAGCGATTGTTTCTCCGTGATTGCTGACTGGACCTTGGAGGCCAGCTGGGGGTGGGGAGAACGAGGGAACAGAGAGTGGGGATGAGGGGGCATGGAATGGGGGGAGTGGAGAGTGGGGAACGGGGAGAGGGGAGAGAGCAGCAGGAAGAGGGGAGTGGGGAGAGGGCTCTCAGTTGAACTCTTACTGCCTCTGCTCTCCTCTCACCTTCTCCTTGGACTGCTTCAGAGCGTCTGTGTCCGCCGTGAGGTTCCCCAGGGCGGCAGAGTTACACTTTTGAGGCGTCTCAAATCTTCCCCTCATACGCCCATCGCTCTCACCTTCTCCTTGGATTGCTTCAGAGCGTCTGTATCCGCCGTGAGGCTCCCCAGGGCGGCAGACAGCAACACCACTTCCTGCCTTGGAGGCACCTCAAAAGTCTTCCCCTCGTGCGCCCATCTCACTCGCTCGCTCGCTCACAACGACTTGACTGCCTTCCCAAGGGAGCTCAAGCCTCACCTTCTCCTTTGATTGCTTCAGAGCGTCTGTATCCGCCGTGAGGCTCCCCAGGGCGGCAGACAGCGACGCCACTTCCTGCCTTTGAGGCACCTCAAGAGTCTTCTCGCATGCGCCCATCTCACTCGCTTGTTCGCTCTCTCACTGCTCACCTTCTCCTTGGACTGCTTCAGAGCGTCTGTATCCGCCGTGAGGTTCCCCAGGGCGGCAGACAGCGACGACACTTCCTGCTGCAGTCCACCCATTGCCGCCCGGGACTCGCTCCGCTCCGCCTGCAGCCGCCCGTTGGCCGCCCGCAGCTCCTCCAGCTTCTGGGCGGCAGCCTGCGCCGTCCGCTTGCTGGCCTGCAGCGACTGGTTCAGATCTGCCGCCCGGGACTGCAGCGCCTGCGACCGGGCGGCCTCGGCTTGCAGCGCGAGGGTGGCGCGTTTTGTCTTGACCTCCTTGCCCCGGACAAAATCCACCAACCGGCTGATAAGCGACTGTTTCTTGACCAGCACCACCTCTTCTCCTTCCTCTACTCTCTCTCCCTCCCCCCTAATCCCTCCGAAAGTCGACTCGGCTGGCCGCGCCTGCCCGCCCACTTCCTTAGTGCCCTGCCCTCCCCTTGTCTTGAACAGCCCCGTGCCAGCAAGACGAGCAGCAAAGGAGGGCGAGGAGGACGATGAGGAGGAGGAAGAAAACGAGGAAGCGGAAAACGAGGAGGAGGAGGCAGAGGCGAGGGAGGGAGCAGCGGCGGTGGTGTCGGCCACGAGTTGCTGCAGCTGCAATTGAAGGTCGGAGTCGGTGGGCGAGTCAAAGCCCCTGATGCTGTCCACTATGCTGTCTATGCTCGCTTGGACTCGCGCTCGCGCTGGAGGGGTGGGCAAGGGGGAGCGTGGAGGGGAGGGGGAAGCGAAAGCAGGAAAGGGGGCAAGAGAGGGGAAGACAGGTGAGGGAGAGGGGGAGAGGTGTGAGCAGCAGCGACGGTGGTGTCGGCCACGAGTTGCTGCAGCTGCAGTTGAAGGTCCGAGTCGGTGGGCGAGTCAAAGCCCCAGATGGCATCCACTATGCTGTCCATGCTCGCCTGCACCCGCGCTCGCGCTGGGAGGGAGTGGGGGGAGGAGAAGGGAGGAGAAGGGAGGAGAGGAGAGCGGGGGCAAGGGAGGGGGGGATGAGAGGGTTTATAAGGGGGGGCTCAAGAAGCCCCTGATGGCATCCACTATGCTGTCCATGCTCGCCTGCACCCGCGCTCGCGCTGGAAGGGAGGAGAGAATGGGGTTGCATACGAGGAGAGGGGTGAGTGGGGGGGAGAGGGGAGACAGGAGGTGGGCGAGTCGAAGCCCCTGATGGCATCCACTTTGCTGTCTAGGCTCGCCTGCACCCGCGCTCGCGCTGAAGGGGAAAGAGAAAGTGAGAGTAGGGAGGGAGGGAGGGAGGGGGGGGAGGGAGGGAGGGAAGGAGGGGTGGAGGGAGGGGTGGAGGAAGGGGTGGAGGGAGGGGAGGAGGGAGGGGTGGAGGGAGGGGTGGAGGGAGGGAGAGAGGGAGGGGTGGAGACTGAGTTTTTCTGACTAATCGACCTTTTGCTTACGACTTCCCTCGTTTTTCAGAATAGTAGAGTGAGTCTTGTAGATCGATTTACACTATTAGCAGGCTTGCTGCGGTTCGAAACCAGCCTTTCTTAGTTGGGGTGGAGGGAGGGGGTGGAGGGAGGGGTGGAGGGAGGGGTGGAGGGAGGGGTGGAGGGAGGGGTGGAGGGAGGGGTGGAGGGAGGGGTGGAGGGAGGGGTGGAGGGAGGGGTGGAGGGAGGGGTGGAGGGAGGGGTGGAGGGAGGGGTGGAGGGAGGGGTGGAGGGAGGGGTGGAGGGAGGGGTGGAGGGAGGGGTGGAGGGAGGGGGGAGGGAGGGGTGGAGGGAGGGGTGGAGGGAGGGGTGGAGGGAGGGGTGGAGGGAGGGGTGGAGGGAGGGGTGGAGGGAGGGGTGGAGGGAGGGGTGGAGGGAGGGGTGGAGGGAGGGGTGGAGGGAGGGGTGGAGGGAGGGGTGGAGGGAGGGGTGGAGGGAGGGGTGGAGGGAGGGGGGAGGGAGGGGTGGAGGGAGGGTGGAGGGAGGGGTGGAGGGAGGGGTGGAGGGAGGGGTGGAGGGGGGGGTGGAGGGAGGGGTGGAGGGAGGGGTGGAGGGAGGGGTGGAGGGAGGGGTGGAGGGAGGGGTGGAGGGAGGGGTGGAGGGAGGGGTGGAGGGAGGGGTGGAGGGAGGGGTGGAGGGAGGGGTGGAGGGAGGGGTGGAGGGAGGGGTGGAGGGAGGGGTGGAGGGAGGGGTGGAGGGAGGGGTGGAGGGAGGGGTGGAGGGAGGGGTGGAGGGAGGGGTGGAGGGAGGGGTGGAGGGAGGGGTGGAGGGAGGGGTGGAGGGAGGGGTGGAGGGAGGGGTGGAGGGAGGGGTGGAGGGAGGGGTGGAGGGAGGGGTGGAGGGAGGGGTGGAGGGAGGGGTGGAGGGAGGGTGGAGGGAGGGGTGGAGGGAGGGGTGGAGGGAGGGGTGGAGGGAGGGGTGGAGGGAGGGGTGGAGGGAGGGGTGGAGGGAGGGGTGGAGGGAGGGGTGGAGGGAGGGGTGGAGGGAGGGGTGGAGGGAGGGGTGGAGGGAGGGGTGGAGGGAGGGGTGGAGGGAGGGGTGGAGGGAGGGGTGGAGGGAGGGGTGGAGGGAGGGGTGGAGGGAGGGGTGGAGGGAGGGGTGGAGGGAGGGGTGGAGGGAGGGTGGAGGGAGGGGTGGAGGGAGGGGTGGAGGGAGGGGTGGAGGGAGGGGTGGAGGGAGGGGTGGAGGGAGGGGTGGAGGGAGGGGTGGAGGGAGGGGTGGAGGGAGGGGTGGAGGGAGGGGTGGAGGGAGGGGTGGAGGGAGGGGTGGAGGGAGGGGTGGAGGGAGGGGTGGAGGGAGGGGTGGAGGAGGGGTGGAGGGAGGGGTGGAGGGAGGGGTGGAGGGAGGGTGGAGGGAGGGGTGGAGGGAGGGGTGGAGGGAGGGGTGGAGGGAGGGGTGGAGGGAGGGGTGGAGGGAGGGGTGGAGGGAGGGGTGGAGGGAGGGTGGAGGGAGGGGTGGAGGGAGGGGTGGAGGGAGGGGTGGAGGGAGGGGTGGAGGGAGGGGTGGAGGGAGGGGTGGAGGGAGGGGTGGAGGGAGGGTGGAGGGAGGGGTGGAGGGAGGGGTGGAGGGAGGGGTGGAGGGAGGGGTGGAGGGAGGGGTGGAGGGAGGGGTGGAGGGAGGGGTGGAGGGAGGGGTGGAGGGAGGGGTGGAGGGAGGGGTGGAGGGAGGGGTGGAGGGAGGGGTGGAGGGAGGGGTGGAGGGAGGGGTGGAGGGAGGGGTGGAGGGAGGGGTGGAGGGAGGGGTGGAGGGAGGGTGGAGGGAGGGGTGGAGGGAGGGTGGAGGGAGGGGTGGAGGGAGGGGTGGAGGGAGGGGTGGAGGGAGGGTGGAGGGAGGGTGGAGGGAGGGGTGGAGGGAGGGGTGGAGGGAGGGGTGGAGGGAGGGGTGGAGGGAGGGGTGGAGGGAGGGGTGGAGGGAGGGGTGGAGGGAGGGGTGGAGGGAGGGGTGGAGGGAGGGGTGGAGGGGAGGGGTGGAGGAGGGGTGGAGGGAGGGGTGGAGGGAGGGGTGGAGGGAGGGGTGGAGGGAGGGGTGGAGGGAGGGGTGGAGGGAGGGGTGGAGGGAGGGGTGGAGGGAGGGGTGGAGGGAGGGGTGGAGGGAGGGGTGGAGGGAGGGGTGGAGGGAGGGGTGGAGGGAGGGGTGGAGGGAGGGGTGGAGGGAGGGGTGGAGGGAGGGGTGGAGGGAGGGGTGGAGGGAGGGGTGGAGGGAGGGGTGGAGGGAGGGGTGGAGGGAGGGTGGAGGGAGGGGTGGAGGGAGGGGTGGAGGGAGGGGTGGAGGGAGGGGTGGAGGGAGGGGTGGAGGAGGGGTGAGGGAGGGGTGGAGGGAGGGGTGGAGGGAGGGGTGGAGGGAGGGGTGGAGGGAGGGGTGGAGGGAGGGTGGAGGGAGGGGTGGAGGGAGGGGTGAGGGAGGGGTGGAGGGAGGGGTGGAGGGAAGGGGTGGAGGGAGGGGTGGAGGGAGGGGTGGAGGGAGGGGTGGAGGGAGGGGTGGAGGGAGGGGTGGAGGGAGGGGTGGAGGGAGGGGTGGAGGGAGGGGTGGAGGGAGGGTGGAGGGAGGGGTGGAGGGAGGGGTGGAGGGAGGGGTGGAGGGAGGGGTGGAGGGAGGGGTGGAGGGAGGGGTGGAGGGAGGGGTGGAGGGAGGGGTGGAGGGAGGGGTGGAGGGAGGGGTGGAGGGAGGGGTGGAGGGAGGGGTGGAGGGAGGGGTGGAGGGAGGGGTGGAGGGAGGGGTGGAGGGAGGGGTGGAGGGAGGGGTGGAGGAGGGGGGAGGGAGGGGTGGAGGGAGGGGTGGAGGGAGGGGTGGAGGTGAGGGTGGAGGGAGGGGTGGCGGGAGGGGGAGGGGAGGGGTGGATGGAGGGGTGGAGGGAGGGGTGGAGGGAGGGGGGGAGGGAGGGGTGGAGGGAGGGGTGGAGGGAGGGGTGGAGGGAGGGGTGGAGGGAGGGGTGGAGGGAGGGGTGGAGGGATGGGTGGAGGGAGGGTGGAGGGAGGGGTGGAGGGAGGGGTGGAGTGGAGGGGTGGAGGGAGGGGTGGAGGGATGGGGTGGAGGGAGGGGTGGAGGGAGGGGTGGAGGGCAGGGGAGGGAGGGTGGAGGAGGGGTGGAGGGAGGGGTGGAGGGAGGGTGTGGATGGGAGGGATGGAGGAGGGGTGGAGGGAGGGGTGGAGGGAGGGGTGGAGGGAGGGGTGGAGGGAGGGGTGGAGGGAGGGAGAGCATGTTGTGTTTAACCAAAGGCATGAGATGCCCCCATCCCCGTTCTCCCCACCAACAACCCCGACCTAGGGCCCCTCTCCCAAGCTCCCCCCCTCAAGCCCCCTCTCCCCTCCCCCCCCCCCCTTTCCAACCCCACCCACCCACCCACAATGCACCCACCACGTGGCAGCCCATGCACTCACCCGGCCCTCCGCGGACGTAGGAGGAGAGGAAGTTGAGCGCCACGCCCGTGCCCACCAGCGTGCCTAACCGCCCCCCTCCAACCCATGCCCCACTGATATTGCACTCACCCGGCCCTCCACGGACGTAGGAGGAGAGGAAGTTGAGCGCCACGCCCGTGCCCACCAGCACCTCCAGGTCCGCCAGGAAGGGTACCTTGTCGAGCGCCTGGGGGCGTGCGGGGAAAGGGGGCGGGAGCGGCAGGATTGGGGGAAAAGGGTAAGGGCCGATGGGGAAGTTGAGCGCGACGCCTGTGTCCACCAGCACCTCCAGGTCCGCCAGGAAGGGTACCTTGTCGAGTGCCTGGGCTGGGGGGACGGGGAGGGACGGGGAGCGATGGGGAGGGATGGGGAGGAGACATGGCGTTGAGATGAGGGATAGAGGGATGTGAATTTAAAGAACGTGCTGTGTAGAGTACATGTTGCTGACCAACTCGACCAGTCAACAAGCCAGCGAGTCAGCGAGTCAACAAGTCAGCGAGTCAGCGAGTCAACAAGTCAGCGAGTCAACAAGTCAGCGAGTCAACAAGTCAGCGAGTCAACAAGTCAGCGAGTCAACAAGTCAGCGAATCAACAAGTCAGCGAGTCAGTGGATGGGTCAATGCAGCTACAGTGAGGCGCTCACCTCAAGCACTTGCGCGCTGACTTGCACTCCCACGGCTGCTGCGGCCGCTCCTGCGACCCACATGCCCGCCTGCTTCCACTGCTCGTGCGGGGGGGGAAGGAAGGAGGGCGGGGCGGAGGTCCGGGCGGAGGGCGGGCCGGAGGGCGCGACGGCGGGAGGAAAAAGGGAGGGAAAGGAAGAGGCTAGATTAGATGAAAACGGGAGGGGACGGGACGGATTAAGAATAGCGACGGAAAGGGGTCGCTGGGAAAAGAGAAGTTAGTCCGGAAAGGAACTCACTCCCTCATTTGTCACTGGCACACAGCAACTCCCCACAATCCATCACTACCAGGCCCCACCGCTTCCCACCATTCTCCACCCTCCGACACGCCCTCACATCCCCTTATTCCCAAGATTCCCCGACATTCCCCCACCCCTTAACACTCCCCTTAGCCCCCCCTCCACCCCCTCCCCCAGCCTCCCCCCTTCCCTTCCCAGTGCGCGCACCAGGGGGCGTTTCCTGCCGGATCTGGGGAAGCTCGCGAAGAGTTTTGAGATGTCGCAGAAACACATTCCCCCAATTCCTCCCACCCCCCTCCCCCAGCCCCCCCCTTCCCTTCCCAGTGCGCGCACCAGGGGGCGTTTCCGGCCGGATCTGGAGAAGCTGGCGAAGAGGCGGCGAGTGACCGGCTCGCGGGGGATGGACGCGGAAGGTGCGCGCGGCACTGTGGCGACCGCCCTGCTCTTGCTGCTGCTGCTGCTGCTTGTGGTGTTGGTGGTGTTGGGGCTGTGATCATTGTGAGAGTGGTGAGAGTGGGAGCTGTGGTTCTGCTCCGATTGGCTGATAGATGCACGAAAGGGAGGGAGGGAGGGGGAAGGGAGGGAGGAGAAAAGGAGGCAGGGGGAGGGACGGGGGGATGGAGGGAGGGAGGTGAGCATTGCTGGTAAGTATTGGATGGAGAACGAGAGATGTGCATGGCCTCTGCAGCAGAAGCAGGCCGTTATTTATTTGCTCTTGAGAAATAAAAGAGAGAATAATAGATGCGGGCTGGGTTCAGAGCAGGGCGAGAGATCTGGAAGACAAGTGACAAAAAAAAAATGTTTGGGAAAAGGGGGGGTCGGGGGGGGCATTGGAATACGATACGGTGCGACAGGATACAATACGACATGATTCGCACCGTTTGGAGGGCTTGGTGGAGGGGACGACTGCAGCCGTCCATCTGGGCGTGGTGCGCTTGAACGCTGGCGCGGATGACACGGGAGAGGGGAGGAGGGGGGGAAATGGGGAGGGGGGTGGGGGGGGGAAACGACGCAAAAAAGGAACGGGAGATGAACTGTGAGCGAACAGCCGGAGAGACACATGAGCGAACGACGCATGCGCGAAACATGAGCGAACGACGCATGAGCGAAACATGAGCGAACGACGCATGAGCGAACGACGCATGCGGGACGCATGAGCGAACGACGCAAGTCTCGCGGAGTGCCTGCCTCGTCCGCGTACAGTCCCCTACGCTCCCACTACGGCTCTGTCCGCCATTCTTGAGTTTACTCAAAAGTGCCTGCCTCGTCCGTGAACAGTCCACAACGCTCCCACTACGGCTCTGTCCGCCATTCTGCCATTACATATTTGGCCCCATTGACGCGTTCCCGAATACGTCTACGTTTTCGTTACGTCATCCCTACTGCCGTTAACGTCTGCTTCCGTTCCGTTCTCTAGTTCCGTTTACGTCTGCTTACGTACATACTCCTTGCTGCGGCCCAAGCATTACCTCTTTCGTCGAACTGGCAACTTCTGTGTCCCCATTTCGTCGAACTGGCAACTTACTATGTCCCCATTTCGGCTTCGCGGTGGCGGAAAGGAGTTTGCGCCAGCGCTCATCGCTGTGCAGCGCGCTGCTTCCCGCGCCCATGCGCCCGCTTGCGCCAATGCGGCTGCGCGCGCTGGGGCAGGGCGCAAGGCTCACGCGGCGACTCCTGACGCTCTCGCGGCTCTGAGCGGCATATCTCGCCGCGGAAATTGCGCGGCTGCTCGGCGCGCCGGGCAGGCATAACTGCGCCTGCACCTGGAGAACAACGAGGGCCGCCATACCGCTGTGTGTTGGGGCCGCTGTAAGTCTTCGCTTCCTATACACACGATAAGCTTACTAACGAAATCTAGCCTAGACCCCGCCCCTGAGCCTCGTCGATCCCTCTCCTCCGCCCTTCCCCCACACGACGAGATCTGAAATGAGCGCGAAAGAGAGGATGCATGGAATGGGACAGCCGCCACTTGCCTTACCTCCTCCCTGGTGTTGGTTCGGAAAAGGGGAGATATCGGGATTGCGGGGGGAGGTTGGGGGGACAAGCGGGGAAGATTTCGGGTTTGCGCTTTGCGTCAATCATGGGAGATGAGCGGGAAGGGCGAGCGGGAGTCATTTCGACTGGCGGGATCGGATTGGTTAGAGCGGAAAAAATGGATGTGGGAATTGGGGGGAACGAGATGAGATGAGGAAGTGGGACGAATGGGGAAATGGGCGGGGCGGGGGAAACGTGGCGAACGGGGCGAGGTCTGGATGGATGTGGGGGGACCAAAGAGACCGTCACCACCACGCGACGAGAGGGGGGCAGCGCAAAAACAAATACTGTAGGCGAACGAGCAACAGAGGAGCCACATAAATCTGCCCAAACCAGATCATATTGATGAATTGTTCTGCAAAACGAGCGCAAAAGTTCCCGCCACTCGGTTAAAGTTCGTCAAGAATATCCCCTTCCCAGTTCGTTGGGGGAAAGGTTCGGAAACACTGTTCATCCCGCTTGAGGGTTGCTGGCACCACACACTCCCCTAGAGCTTGGCGCCAGCAGTGCACCGAACGAGGGAGGTGGTTGCTGCAAAGATCCGCTCCACACCATGGACACGTAAGCATCGCATCTGCGTTACGCCACGTCAGACTTAAAAAAGTGGCAAGTACACGACTGCATATAATCCTATGGCCTATAGAATGCAATATCATAATGCTATCTTATGTTTGTTGAGGCCCAGTTGTGGAGGCAGCTGCTTTAGAGTCAAGCAAAAGAAGCATGTTATAGAAGAGCCGCATGAAGTGGTCGAGCGGCCCGGGCAAGCAGTAGTAGTAGCAATCCATCGACCCGTCTAGCTTCTTGATGTGTCCGTCGGGGCGCATCGAGAGCGACCAATCAAGATCAATGTATAGCCCTCCAAATTCCTGTCAAGAACAAAACACAGAACACATTACAAACCCCAAGCAGGTCATGAAGCAAGGAGAACACTAGACTGTCATGTAGCTCACACAGGCACAGGCTCTCCAATACAGCTCTCACACACCTTCACGATGGCCTTGGCACCTTCGTTCTGTTCCACCACATAGCTCCACTGGCTCTCCTTGGTTTCATTGTGTGGCACTGCCTTGAGCGGCTCCGTGGCGTTGCCGCACTCGGGGTGGCTTTTGAGTCGACTTTCGAATCCACTCAAAAGTCACCTAAAAAAACCCCACCTCAACTCCCACTCACCTTCACAATGGCCTTGGCCCCTTCGTTCTGTTCCACCACGTAGCTCCACTGGCTCTCGTTGGTTTCATTGTGCGGCACGGCCTTGAGTGGCTCCGTGGCGTTGCCGCAGTCGGGGTGGCCGCGCCACGTGTTGCGCCACACCAGCAGCACATCTGGCGCCACCTCCCTCAGCTTCGCCAGCGATGCACGCAGCGTGGACAGGTACTTGGCGGCTGGGAGATCAGAGAAAAAGAGGGAAAAACACACACACACACACAAAAGTTGAAACGAATTTGGTGAGACGGAGTGAGTGGAGGGTAAGAACACAGTGCGCATGGCAGCAGCACACGAGCAGCACGTGTTGCGCCACACCAGCAGCACGTCCGGCGCCACCTCGCGCAGCTTTGCCAGCGATGCACGCAGCGTGGACAGGTACTTGGCAGCTGGGCCGACAAAAGGAAAATGAAAGGTAAAACATGCACAAATGTGGCGAGTCAACATGTGTGAGCGGTACAACACACTGCAAACGAAAAAGCATAGCACCGGGACCGAGCGGAAGGGTGGGAAAGAACCAAACCCCCGCCTGGCTTGACAAGGCAAATCTGCAGGCCTTGTCCAATTAGATACCAGGACTTGGATGGAATGATTTTACAGGCCACGAGGGAGAACCCAAGGCACCTTTCCCACGGAGGAAAAAAAAAAAAAAAAAAAAACAACAACAACAACAACAACGCACGTACTTGGTCTCTTCTCAAAGCCCTTGTTGAGGACGACGATGGAGGCGTTCCACTCCGTGAGGTGGCGCAGCCAGCGCTGGTTGAACTTGCCCCCGCCCGCTGAGTCGGGTGAGAGCAGGTTGTTGTGCACGACCCGGAAGGTGAAGCCCCCGGGCACGTGGTCCGAGCACACCACGTGTGGCTTGCGGTGGCACAGTGGGATCTCGTTCTCCTCCCTGGAAATGCAGAAAGAGAGAAGGAAAACAGGGGTGTTTGGTGAGGCACTGTGGGAAAGAGTGGGGTGAGAGCAGGTTGTTGTGTACGACTCGGAAGGTGAAGCCCCCGGGCACGTGGTCGGAGCACACGATGTGTGGCTTGCGGTGGCACAAGGGGATCTCGTTCTCCTCCCTGCAAGTTGGTGGCAAAAAAAAGACAGACATGCATAGGCGATTGAGCATGGCGCGAGAACAGGATGCTGCTGGTGAGCCCTGACGTGGTCTAACGAGGTTTAAAATGCTCGTTAGACAAAAGGAGAACAAATGCGTGTTGTGCACTCAAAAGGGGAACTTGTCGCGGTTGTACCCATTGAGCGGCAGGCAGAAGCGGCTCGCGGCTACCTGCTACCTGCTACCAGCTACAGGCTACCAGCTACTGGCTACCTGCTACCTGCAGAGCCCACATCACCCCAACCACTCACCAGGCATCAGCAGCCGTGCCAATATCCTTGGCAGTCTTCATCGTGAGAACATGGTTGATGAACACGTCGTGCAGAGCCAGCTGCGACTGGTCGCCCACAAACACCACATTCCTCCGCCCCACGGCCCGGCAGAACTTGTCACGGTTGTACCCGTTGAGCGGCGGGCAGAAGCGGCTACCTGCTACTGGCTACCGGCTACCTACAGTGTCCGCGTCACCCCAACCACTCACCAAGCATCAGCAGCGGTGCCAATATCCTTGGCGGTCTTCATGGTGAGAACATGGTTGATAAACACATCATGCAGCGCCAGCTGAGACTGATCGCCCACAAACACCACGTTGCGCTGCCCCATGGCGCGGCAGAACTTGTCGCGGTTGTACCCGTTGAGCGGCGGGCAGAAGCGGCTGGCCTTCCACGTGTGCTTCAGCTCCGGTCGCACGTTCCAGTCACCCGTGCCCGACACCCGGATGTCCTCCGCTGCCTTGCCGAACACGCCTTTGCTGTAAGTGGAGAAAGGGAGGTGAGGGAGGAGAGAAACGAGACATCAGCTGTTGCGTGCAAGAGGCACAACGAGAGAAAGAGGACATGTGACATACGTTTTGCAATGCAAAATGCCGTAGGGGAAGCTTGCCCCGCAATCACAAAGCTTACTTTCTGCGGTGCAGAATGTCGCAGGTGCCGTAGTGAGGAGCTAGGGGGTTGCGGTTGGGGTCCTTGCTCCAGGGCTGCCAGCGGGGCGTGTTGAACTTGATCCAACGGCCCTCCTTCGCCAGACACGCCATCTCACGGTTCGTCTGCTCCACTGCCTGTGACCCCCGCACTGCTGTCCCTGGGATGCACTCGGAGTAGTTCCTGCAGGGCGCTGTGAGGGGAGAAGAGGGATGGATCAAGACAGATGGATCTGAGTTAGGCGCCTGAAGAGACACACTGCGTGTGCGCCCAGCTCTGCTGTTTCTGCACGGCGATGTGATGTGAGAGGTGTGGACTGAGGGGGAAATGGACTTTATTAGGGAGAAAAAGAGGGAGGACATAATAGCGGAGGAAAGAAAGAACACTTGGCAGACATAACATTTCGCACACACGGGAAAGAGCATATGTGGCAGACGAAGAGAATGGAACGCACATTGCATGGTCCGATCCGATCACACACTTGGGTCAAATCACTCACCGAGGGGTTCAGGTGCTTTGGCTTGAGGAGCGGGCGTGGCGTCAGCGGCAGGCGTGGCGTCTGCAGCAGGCGTAGCATCATCTGGAGGTGGGAACGACTCTGCACCGCTACTGCTGCTATCACCGCTGCCAGCAGCAGCACCACCACCACTGTCAGCTCCACCAGTGGCAGAAGCAGCAGTAGCAGCACCATCACCAGCCTTCCCTTCATCCTTGCTCTCCACTTTCCCTCCCACTTGTTCCGTTTCCTTTCCTGCCTGCCCTGCCTCTCCTGCTTGCCCTGCCTTCCCTGCTTCCTCTCCTGATCCCTCTGCTTGCTTCACACTACCAGCCTCCCCTCCCTCCTTCACCCCTTCATCCGAAACTCCTGCTGTTCCGCCTCCCTCGCCCACTGCTCCTGCACCCTCCGCCACTGCTCCCTGCTCACCTGCTCCCTGCCCACCTGCTCCTTGCTCTGCTGCCCCTTCCTCTGCTGCCCCTTGCTCTGGTACCTCCTTTCTCCCCGACTCCTCCCTGCCACCCTCGTCACCACCCTCTCGTCCACCTGTCCCCAAAGCCCCTGCAACAGCCCCATCACTTCCCTCAGCTTCCTCTCCTGCGTCTTTCCCCCCATCCCCACTGCCCGCCTCCCTACTTTTCCCACTGCCCGTCACATCCTCCTTTCCCCCATCCGCCGCTCCCCCAGTCCCCTCTTCAGCCCCACTTTCCCCTGCCTTCTGTATTCCCCCACTCCCAGCCCCACCCTCGTCCTCTCCCCCCTCGCCCTTCCCACGCTTCTCCTCCCCCTCTCCACTGCTATCTCCTCCTTCGCCACCACCCTCACCATCACCATCACCACCAGCAGCAGCAGCAGCACCACCACCATCACCATCACCTGCAGCGGCACTATCACTGTCACTATCCCCAGCATCAGCACCAGCACCATCAGCCGGAGCAACCAGTGGCCGACCAGGCTCGGACTCTCCCCCAGGGCGCACAGGCAGGAACCCTGGCCTGACCGGCTGGGTTGGTGGCTCCTGCCCTCTCTGGCCTGTCTGCCCGCTCTGTTGTTGGTGCTGGGAGTGGGAGTCGATGAGGCGGAGCAGGTTGTAGAGGAGCGAGACCCAGTGGTCGAGGGGGCCTGGCATGCAGTAGTGGCGGCAGTCCACTGTGCCGTCCATCCGCCTGTGGTGGCCGTCGGGACGTAGTGAGGTGGCTGAGTCAACATCGAGGTAGACCACCCCGTACTCCTGGGATGGAGGGGAAAGAGATGGGAGATTCGCAGAGGAAAATCAGTAAAAGAAGGGCAACATGACAGCAGCAAACATCGAGATACATCATTCTGGAGTTCTGGGAGAGAGGAGGGAGACGGGGATGAGAGAGGGCAGCAGCGGCGAAATGCAGTAGTGGCGGCAGTCCACTGTGCCGTCTAGGCGCCTGTGGTGGCCGTCGGGGCGGAGTGAGGTGGCTGAGTCAACGTCTAGATACACCACTCCGTACTCCTGGGAGGGGGAGGAGGGAGGGGACGGGGAGGGATGAGAGGGGGCAACAAGAGCAGCAGTAGTGGCGGCAGTCCGCTGTGCCGTCCATCTGCCTGTGGTGGCCGTCTGGGCGCAGTGACGTGACTGAGTCAACATCGAGCTGCCCCTTGAGCTGCAGCGGCTGCTGTTTGCCTGATGCTGCTGCTGCAACCTATGTTGAGAAAGACGCGTCGTCCAGACGCAGGACGCAGCACCAGGACCAGAAAGACGCACCAAAAGACGCAAGCCCGGGCAGGGCAAAAAAACCCCCCGGGCAGGCAAAAAAAAATGTTATAGGGCATGGGAAGAGGGGGGGGGGGGGGGGGGACGTTCCACACTTTCAAGGCAAATTTGTCCCCAACAACAATTTTTTCCCCCAAAACTCAAGATTAAGGTGAGTCACTTCACATCACACATGTCACAAGGTCACACACACATTTTATCCAATCGCACGGGCTGTTTTAGAATGGCGATTTGGGCAAGGGGGGGTCGAAATTTCGCGATTTCGACATTCGCGTCGAAATCGCGAATGTAAATTTCGCGATCGGAAAAAAAATAAAAAATTTCCGGGCAGCTCGAAAAAAAAATCGCCGTGCGTCCTGCGTCTGGACGCGCGTCCTGCGTCCGTGCGTCCAGACGCTGCGTCCAGACACAGGACGCAGCGTCCTCCGTGCGTCTTTCTCAACATAGGCTGCAACCAACACCCACTCACCTGACCCTGTTACAGCCTGGTACTAACCATTACCACACCCGCGCCACTCACCTTTAGCAATGACCGCACAGCAGCGTTCATCTCAGCGTGCCGTGTCCACGTGGCAGGCAGCTGTCCCTTGAGCTGCAGCAGCTGCTGTTGCTTGCCTGAAGCAGCTATACACCTGCCACACCACTGACCTTGAGCAGCGACCGTACGGCAGCATTCATCTCAGCGTGCCGGGTCCACGTGGCAGGCAGCTGCCCCTTGAGCTGCAGCGGCTTGGGGCGGCGCTTGAGCGGGCGGGTGAAGCGGTGGCAGCTGGGGTGGCCCGCAGGGGAGTTGCGCCAGATGACCAGCATGTCGGGATAAAGCTCCCTTACTGCCTCCAGGGTGTCCCGCACCTCTTGTAGCATTAGATCCTCTGAGGACGGGAGGGCAGGGATGCAGGGGAGGGAGGGTTACATGGGATAAGAGGCAGGTGAGTTGGGCCAGATGACCAGCATGTCGGGATAGAGCTCTCGCACTGCTTCCTAGGTGTCCCGAACTTCTTGTAGCATCAGATCTTCTGGGGAGGGAAGGCGAGGGGAGGGGGGGGAGGGAGAGACGGGGTGGTGGGGGAATTCAAGCCAGATGACCAGCATGTCGGGATAGAGCTCTCGCACTGCTTCCTAGGTGTCCCGAACTTCTTGTAACATCAGGTCCTCTGGGGAGGGAAGGCGAGGGGAGGGGAGGGGACGGGATACATGGGATGGGAGGGAGGGGACGAGCGCAAGCTGATTTGTTGTCGCAACCAAAGTGAATTGTGAGAAAACTCAAAGCACAACACAGCATGCGCACTCACTAATGTTGACGAACGCTGTGCGCAGGAGAATAGAGGTTGTGCATGCGGCAAAAGTACACACAATACGGGAAAGAACGAGCAACACGCTCGCTCGAGCACACACTCACTGTCATTGAAGAGTGCGGTGCGCGAGAGGATGAGGATATCCGTGCGCCAGCGACGCAGGGAAAAAGAAAAAGGGAACAAAAGAAAAGACAGAACCGCTCGAGCATGCACACTCACTGTCGTTGAACAGCGCGGTGCGTGAGAGGATGAGGATATCCGTGCGCCACCGTCGCAGGCGGCGCAGCCAGCGGGTGTTGTAGCGCGTGGGGCGGCCGGTATCGGGCGTCAGAAACGGGTTCAGCACCACCCGCAAGTTGAACCCCGCTGATGATGCCTCCCCACCCCTTGCCACACCTCTGCCCGAACCTAACCCCGAGCCTGACCCAGACCTGGACCCCAGCCGCAAATCCGAGCCCGACCCTCCTCCACCCCCTGAACTCCAGCCGCTGCTGCTACCCCCACCGCTCCCTACTCCCTCCTCATCCTCCTCATCCTCCCCACCTCCTCCATTGGAATTCCCCTGAGGAACCCTTCCCACAACTCCCCCTCCTCCCCCTCCTCGCCCTCCTTCCGCCACCTCCGTCCCCTCCTCCTCGTCCTCCTCCTCGCTCCCGTCCGACTCCCACAGCAGCACACGGCCTCGAGTGGCCCGTCCCTGCCTCCTCCCTCGCCTCCTACGCTCCTTCCCTTGCACAGCAGCTATGCTGCTCGCCCTCCCACCTTCCTCATCTCCCTCCAGCCTATCTCCCCCTCCCCCTCCTGCTCGTGCTCCTGCTGCTGCTGCTGCTGCTGCTGCTGCTGCTGCTGCTGCTGCTGCTACTGCGCCAGTGGTGTCAGGGGGGCCTTTGCCGTACGAGCCAGAGGCAGTGGAGGAGGGGAGAGCAGAGGTGAGGGTAATAGGCACGTCGGTGCACAGCTGGTGGCCCGCCTCGAAGCATGCACCCTCCGTGGTATTGGCCCTGGAAAGGAATTAAAATAAGAATTGGGCATGCACGGGAGTGAAAGGGGAAGAATCTTGAGGAGTTGTAAGAGCCGGGAGGTGTTGTTATGAAGTGCCTCAGAAAATGGATTGAAGTCAACAGCTTGCAATTGGTTCCCCACCCTCACCCACCCTTTCTCCCTCGCCCACCTCCTCCCTCCCTCGCCTCTCACCATCCATCGCCCAGCCGGCCAGCATCTCTCTTGGTCCCAGCCGTCACCAGATGATTCAGCACCGAATCATGCATATCCAAACTGAAAGCATCCCCCACCAGCACCACGTTCCGCCCCCGCACTGCCCGGCAGAACCCCTCGCGGTCGAACCGCACGAACGGGCACCGGTCCGGCTCACCGCTGCGCCACTCGTACAGTACCTCCCTCCACCCTCCCTCCCTTGCCCATCTCCCTCCCTCCCACCCACCCACCCACCCACCCACCACGCCCTCCCACCCTCACTCACCATCCATCGCCCAGCCTTCCAGCATCTCTCTTGGTGGCAGCGGTGACCAGGTGATTCAGCACAGCATCATGCATGTCCAAACTAAAAGCATCCCCCACCAGCACCACGTTCCGCCCTCGCACCGCCCGGCAGAACCCCTCGCGGTCGAACCGCACGAACGGGCACCGCTCCGGCTCGCTGCTGCGCCACTCGTACAGCACCTCCCACCACCCTCCCTCCTTTGCCCACCTCCCTCCCTTGCCCACCTCCCTCCCTTGCCCACCACCTCCCTCCCTTGCCCATCTCCCTCCCTTGCCCATCTCCCTCCCTCCCACCCACCCACCCACCCACCCACCACGCCCTCCCACCCTCACTCACCATCCATCGCCCAGCCTTCCAGCATCTCTCTTGGTGGCAGCGGTGACCAGGTGATTCAGCACAGCATCATGCATGTCCAAACTAAAAGCATCCCCCACCAGCACCACGTTCCGCCCTCGCACCGCCCGGCAGAACCCCTCGCGGTCGAACCGCACGAACGGGCACCGCTCCGGCTCGCTGCTGCGCCACTCGTACAGCACCTCCCACCACCCTCCCTCCTTTGCCCACCTCCCTCCCTTGCCCACCACCTCCCTCCCTTGCCCATCTCCCTCCCTTGCCCATCTCCCTCCCTCCCACCCACCCACCCACCCACCCACCACGCCCTCCCACCCTCACTCACCATCCATCGCCCAGCCTTCCAGCATCTCTCTTGGTGGCAGCGGTGACCAGGTGATTCAGCACAGCATCATGCATGTCCAAACTAAAAGCATCCCCCATCAGCACCACGTTCCGCCCTCGCACCGCCCGGCAGAACCCCTCGCGGTCGAACCGCACGAACGGGCACCGCTCCGGCTCGCTGCTGCGCCACTCGTACAGCACCTCCCACCACCCTCCCTCCTTTGCCCACCTCCCTCCCTTGCCCACCTCCCTCCCTTGCCCACCACCTCCCTCCCTTGCCCATCTCCCTCCCTTGCCCATCTCCCTCCCTCCCACCCACCCACCCACCCACCACGCCCTCCCACCCTCACTCACCATCCATCGCCCAGCCTTCCAGCATCTCTCTTGGTCCCAGCCGTCACCAGATGATTCAGAACCGCATCATGCATGTCCAAACTGAACGCATCCCCCACCACGTTCCGCCCCCGCACTGCCCGGCAGAACCCCTCACGCACACATTCCCCACCACCCTCCCTCACTCACTGACTCACTCACTCACTCACTCACCATCCATCGCCCAGCCGGCCAGCATCCCTTTTAGTCGCAGCAGTAACCAGATGGTTCAGCACGGCATCGTGCATGTCCAAGCTGAACGCATCCCCCACCAGCACCACGTTCCGCCCCCGCACTGCCCGGCAGAACCCCTCCCGCACACATTCCCCCACCCCACCACCCTCGCTCCCTCACTCACTCACTCACTCACTCACCATCCATCGCCCAGCCGGCCGGCATCTCTCTTGGTCCCAGCGGTGACCAGATGATTCAACACCGCATCATGCATATCCAGGCTGAACGCATCCCCCACCAGCACCACGTTCCGCCCCTGCACCGCCCGGCAGAACCAATCCCCAGCAGCACCACACCAGCATACACACGCACACATACACACATTCCCCACCCCATCCCACCCCACCACCCTCCCTTGCTTTCCCAGGCCCCCCCTCACTCACCATCCATCGCCCAGTCGACCGGCATCCCTCTTGGTGGCAGCCGTGACCAGATGGTTGAGCACAGCATCGTGCATGTCCAGACTGAAAGCATCCCCCACAAGCACCACGTTCCGCCCCCGCACTGCCCGGCAGAAGCCCTCCCTGTCGAACCGCACGAACGGGCACCGCTCCGGCTCGCTGCTGCGCCACTCGTACAGCACCTCCCGCCGAACCTTCCAGTCCGGCGCGGCCGAGGCTCGGCGGCGGGAGGTTCGGGAGTACTTTTGGCGGATTCGCTCGGCTTGAAGGCCGTAGATGCCGCCCTCTCTGGCCGGGTGGCGGATGAGCAGGGAGGGGAGGAGCGAGCAAGGAAGGCAGGAGAGGGAGGGAATCCCAAGAAGGACAAGGGGAATGTGTTTTGAGTCGACTCAAAACACGATTCGCTCGGCTTGAAGGCCGTAGATGCCGCCCTCTCTGACCGGGTGGGGGATGAGCAGGGAGGGGAGGAACGAGGAAGGAAGGCAGGAGAGGGAGGGAATCCGAAGCAGGACAAGGGGAATGGCGGGTGAGACGGAAACGCGATTCCAAGAAGGGCAAGGAGAATGCAGGAAATTAGGTGATATGGGAAAGGAGGAACAGAACTGTTGGGTGAGATGAAAAGGAGGGACCAAGAGTAAAGCGTGGAGTGAAGGCTTGGACGGGTGGTGTGGGGGAAGGCCAAGAGAAACAAACAAGAAGCAAAAACATTTTCTCTTTTGACATTATAATATCATATATTCACACAACAAGATTCGTGCAGGTACCGCTGGGCGTGCAGCATGTCGCAGGTGCGGTAGTTGGGCTGCTCCTTCACTCTCAGCGGGTTGAGGTCCCATGGCAGCCAGCGCGGCGTCGAGTTGAGCGCCCACCGCCCCTCCCTCGCCACACACGCCAGCTGCCTCTCCACCTCCATAACCTGGTGGTGGCGAGGACGGAAATGATGGGGGGTAGAAATGTTGGTTGGGGCCGGTGAGAGCAATCAATGGTTCCAATAGACCCAACACGGCTCACTCACCTTGGTGCCACGGACGCCGGTCCCTGGATGCGCAGCGAGGCAAAATCAAGCAGCCCCTCGCCATCATCCCCGACCGAGGGTGGTGAGAGCAACAACGGGTTCCAATAGACCCAATGCGGCTCACTCACCTTGGTGCCTCTCACGCTGGTGCCTGAGATGCGCAGCGACATCAAGCCGCCCCTCATCATCATCATCCTCCTCCACGCAAGGGGTGAGAGCAATTAAGGCTTCCAATAGGCCCAGCCCAATGCATCCCACTCACCTTAGTGCCCCGGACGCCGGTGCCTGGAATCCGCAGCGAGGCAAAATCAAGCAGCCCCTCATCGTCCTCCCCAGGAGCCTCCTCCTCCTCCTCCACCTGCGCGTCCTCCACACTGGGAGCCTCATCCGCCGCCCTGGTGCCATAGAACATACTCGCCACTCGCTCCTCCTCCTTCCTCTTCGCCGCATCCTTCCCCACCTTCCCGGGCTGCTTCACACGCCCCGTTCCCCGGCCCGCCTCCTCCTCCTCCGCCTCCTCCTCGTCGTCCTCCTCCTCCTCCTCCTCATCTGCTGCTGCAACTCCTCCTTTCGCCTTTTTTCGCGGGTTCTTCTTGCCGAGTCGTGCTGCTAAACCCTCTGCCTCCTTGGCCGCCTGTTCAAATTCTTCCACTGCATCGTCCACCTCATCTTTCCCTCTCCGCGCCCTTTTCCCCTTCCCTCCACTTTTCTTCTTCTTCCCTCCCGTCTTCTTCCGCTTCGCCCTGCCTCCCCCTCCCTCCTCCTCCTCCTCCTCTTCCTCCTCCCCTCCCTCCTCTTCTTCCTCTTCACTCTCATCCTCATCTCCCTCCTCTCCCTCCTCTTCCTCCTCCTCATCATCCCCAGACCTCTTACGCCCTTTTCTCCCGCCCCTAGGACTCTCATCTTCCTCCTCCTCCTCCTCCTCTTCCTCCTCTGCGTTTCCACCCCCTCCATCCTCCTCCTCATCCTCATCCTCATCATCCCCCCTGTTCCCTCTTTTCCTCCCCGTTCTACCCCCACCAGCTCTCCCCTGCTCATCCTCTTCCTCCTCATCCTCGTCATCACCACTCGCTCTCCCTCGCCCTCCTCTCACCCCCCCTCGTCCTCCCAACCCTCCAACCCTTCCTTTCATCTGGCCAATCGCACTACCAATACCCTCCCCCCCTTCCTCCTCCTCGTCCTCCCCTCCTCTCCGCCCACCTCCCCTACCCCCCCACCCGCCACTCCCCCCCCCACCCCCCATCCTGCCCATCTTACCCGAACCAGCACTCCCCAGCCTTCCCCCAAACGCCCCTCTGCTCTCTCCCCCGCCCTCCCCATCCTCCTCCTCGTCCTCCCCATCCCCGCCAAACGCATTCCCTTTTCTCTTCACAGCACCGCCCCGCCCATCAAATGCACCCATCCTCGCACCAGTACGGCCTCCAAACCCCTCATCTCGAGCCTCAAAAGCCCCTCCCTTCGCACTCCCTCTCCCTCCACCCACACCACCAGCACCACTCTCCTCATCCTCATCATCCCCCATATCCGTTGACGGCAAACCTCCAAACCCTCCTGTCCGACCACCCCCTAACCTGGAACCAGCTAGCTTCGAACCCCACCCTGCCGTCCCTCCCATTCCTCCATCCCCGTCTTCCTCATCCTCGTTAGTAGCATCTCCGAAACCCAGCGCGGACCCGCTCCCGGGTCTAAACCCGCCTGTCCCAGTTCCGCCTCCCTCACCCTCCTCATCTGATGCAGTACCAGTGCTTTCCGTTTCCTTCTTCCCACTCCCCCATAACCAAGAAAACCATCCAGTCTTAGCCGCTGGTTGTGGCGTTTCAGCAATGATATTGCCATCTTTCCCACCTGCTACTCCTCCTGCTGCTTCTGATCCTTCAAATCCTCCTACACCATCCCCGTATTCGTTTTCCGAACCTGCATTGCCGAGGCTGGGCGACGTCACCGAACCACCAGGATTGGTGTTTTTGGAAGACCAGGGGTCATCATCGTCGTCAGACGCGTCAGAAAGAGAGGGATTGGTGCCGGTGATGGTCGGTTTGGAGGTCTTGGTTGACTGCGCCGTCCATGCCTCGTCGCCAGGCTGGCCGCTGGCATAGGGATCGTCGTCTTGACCGATGGTGGGAGCAGATGAGGAGGGATTTCGGCCTCTGGAGGGAAAACAAAATGGGGTTGGTAATAATCCGGAAGGTTTTTATGGAACGCTATGATCCGGTTTTTCTTACAACGGTTTTCAGGACTTACGAACTCATTCGGAATTACGCCTATCTAGGTGGGCTGACACAAACTGCGGATGACCAAATTACGCCTAGAGCGGTTACGTCCTGAATGAAGCAAGCAATCAATATTTTGTTTCACAGCTAGTCCTTTACCCCTCAGCCCTGTTTCGTTCAAGACTTCGCGATTCCTGTCCAATGTCGCTACGGACTTACCTGAAAAGGCCACTATTCCAGATGCCAAAGCCGATCAGCCAAAGGAGCACGAGAGCAACCAGTGGAGAGCAGCAGTAAGGCCGCTTGACCAATCCGCTGCAGAATCCTCCAATGCCGCTTCCACCTCTTTCACCACCACCTCCCCCTCCTCCTCCCCTTCTAAAAAAACTTCTTTGCCTCGCTTCTTGACGCATCGGAGATGACGCTCCGACGCGTTTCGTGACGTCCATTCCAGTGATTCCCCACATCGTGGCGTGATTCGATGTCGTGCTTTTTATTGCCTTTTTCGTTTTTCGTTTTGGAGGCGATTAACAAAACATAATTCTAAGTAAAATACCATTTCATCACCGCTGCCGCTCAAGATCTAAGATACCATGGCATGCGTCCTCTGAATCAAACCAGCCTCATTCCTCAGTTCCTTCAGCACAGAATACAATGCCCTAACACACCCCCAGTTCCATTGATAAAGTAAACTGGCCAGCCCATGGCTTTCACCTACCTATGGCCAATGCGAAATCGGACAATTCGCGTGCAGCAGTAACTTGTGCAAACAATCTCCTCTCCACACGACTTGTGGCGAGGAGCTGATGCTGCTCCTTGCAGCTCGGTTCGGAATTGTTCGATCCGTTACTTCGGTTCGGAGGGTCTGATTTTCCCGATCACATGTGGTGGACGAAACGTCACACTTGCCAAGCCAATTTTTCACCAATCAGAGGACTTCGACGAGATACGGTAACCTGAACAGCAAACCTGGAGAACACCGACCTCGCGAAAGCAGAGCAGTAAGCTTTGGCCGACAGCTTGGCTTCCTTCATCGATATTGTCAAAAATCAGACGCAACTTATTACAGGCCGTGCTAATGTAGATAAATCTCAGCCATCAATATTACAACCACACCGCAAACCATCCGATCGAGACCGTCGATGGGATCAAATCTGCGCATCCACCTGTTCAGACCAGATAGAAGACACCCTCAAGCAACACCTTCAAGACGCTTCTTCAAGCACATCAGCAGAATGAAGGAAATATCTCTGCACAACCACACAAGCACCTCTTGGCAAGCAAATTGAATTGATTATTCTTGGCTGTCTTCGCGGCAATCCCTTGATAACAGAGCATTGCATCGTTTGCAGTGCTAGGTGTAACTTCACCGAAACAGCTGGGTGCTACCGCAGATACATTCAGAAGCTCGTTTCGAATTAGCAAGTTCTTGGTAGATTCCGTCATTTCAGATATGGGTTCTCCAGGCAGCGATTCTGGCGGGGATCCTCCCACCCCTGATCATTCCACCGTTACCGGAGGTGACGGAGTCCGTCACGTTTCCGTCTCCGTGGCCGCTGACGGATTGCATCGCCGTTCAGCTGACGTAAAGCGCGACGAAACCAAGGAGATTAGGCAGGTCGCGCCAAGCGCGGTACCAGAGATCGGTGAATCTGAGCTCCTAGACAGGTCACGGAGCGAGCGGGAGAGGGAAAGGCAATGGCGACTGGATCACAGCCAATTTGCCGCTGCCAGGCGGGACTTAGGCGACGATGAACGCGGCTCCAGCAGAATGGGCATACTCCGAGGTATCATGTTAGAAATCGAGCAGTTTCGCTTCCTGCGCTTGCTAATTCACTCCAAACGCGTCTCTCCTGGATGTGGTTCTAATTCTTGCCATGTTAGAGAAACAATCAATGAAGCGTTAGTGGAAGTCTCAGGCGTCCTTCCCTTATCAGCGAACTGCTCTTTCCAAACGACTTTCGAACCCGGAATCTTTCCCTGCCTCCCACTTCTATCGCCTCTCGCTCGCCCGCCACGTGGCACTGTGTCAGTAACCAGCTCGGACGACGCGATTAGCGCGTACTACCAGCGGCAGAACGAGATGATTGACGGCTTCAGTGAAATGGACGCCCTCAGTGAGCACCTGCTGCACCCCACCGCTGAGGTGAGCGTCATGTTGAGTTTTGAGTAAGAGCTTATGGCGGGGTGAGAAATGGACAACTTCGGTGAGCGCTGCTGCTGTGGTGAGAGCAGTGTTGCGGCGAGGTGAGAGTTCTGAGGCAAGAGCTCTGCTGCAGTGAGTGTCCTCGAATCTTGACCTGCAATAATGTATTGTACATACCGATGCAGGCTTCTTCTCAACCCCTTGTCTCGAATTTCACAGGAGGCGAGGGCAGCAGCCAAGACAGCACGAGGCGAGCACTGGGCGATTCAGATCTCAAACATCGCCAATATCATTCTCTTTATTGCCAAGGTGCGTTACGCTTGACGGGCCTCGAAACAATGCTTTCTTACTTCACCACTGCTATCTCTTTATAGTCAAAATCTGTTGCAACGGCAGCCTGGTTGACACACTCAGGCTGCTGCCAACCTGCCACTGGCTCGCCACTCCATTCATCTCAACCAAACCCCTTCACCCTTCCCTTTTATGTTTACTCCCTCTGTTTTGGTTGCCAGTCTTTCTTCCTTTTCATGCTCTATTCCACTCTACCACATTGCAATCCTTCCACCCCACTCCACCGCTCTGCACCGCGCTGCATGCATGCAGGTGGCAGCGTCCATAGAGTCGGGCAGTCTGTCGATCATAGCGTCGACGCTGGACTCGCTGCTGGACCTGCTGTCGGGCTTCATCCTCTGGTACACCGCCCGCTCCATGCGCCGCCACAACCCCTACAAGTACCCCATCGGCAAGGCGCGCATGCAGCCCCTGGTGCGTGCGTTCTACAAGCACCGCACGGCACTGCACTGCACCGCATTTCACTGCACTCCACTGTTTTGAACCGCATTCCACTGCATTGCACCGTACTCCACCGCACTCCACCGCACTCCACCGCATGTGATTGCTTCCACTGGACCTGCTGTCGGGCTTCATCCTCTGGTACACCGCCCGCTCCATGCGCCGCCACAACCCCTACAAGTACCCCATCGGCAAGGCGCGCATGCAGCCCCTGGTGCGTTCCACGAGCACCGCACGGCACCGCACCCCACCGCATTTCACCACACTCCACCACATTAAACCGCACTCCACTGCATCCTAATGGGCTCCACCGCACTCCACCACATTGCACCGCACCCCACTGCTGGTGCGTCCACTGGACGCACTGCACCACATTCCAACGCATTGCACCGCACGGCGGTTCCGCACTCCACCGCACTCCACCGCATTGCACCTCGGCTTCCAAGTGCTTCTGGAGGGCGTCAGGCGCCTCTAAAATCCTCTACTCTCTCTCTCTCTCTCCTTTCCTTGCCTTTATGCTCCTTCCAAGTCCCCACCTCTTCCCTTTCCGTGACCCCACAGGGCATCATAGTGTTCGCGTCCATCATGGCCACTCTCGGCTTCCAGATTCTGCTGGAGGGCTCCTGATACAGCTCTTTTCAATATCCCCTTTCCCTGTCTCCCCAACCCTACCCCCCTGATCCCCCTCTCCACCCTCCATGACCCCACAGGGCATCATAGTGTTCGCGTCCATCATGGCTACTCTCGGTTTCCAAATTTTGCTAGAGGGCGTCAGGCGCCTCACCGACTCGGTATGAGCTAGATATTGGTAGGAGGAGGAGATCTCGTTAGGATCTGTAACTGACTACTACAGACTTGGTCGGAATCACAATTCACATGGTCGGTATCACGACTCGCTGACTCCACTATGGGAACGTCATTCGTATTTTGTACCGTGTAAACCCTGACATTAGTTGTAGGATTTTTCAGTAGCCTCATTTAAGCCTTGTTAACCCAATGTCACTTTCTTCTTAGAGCCATGGGTTGCTGTGAGCCATGGGTAGCCATGGGTTGCTGTGAGCCATGGGCTGCTGTGAGCCATGGGCTGCTGTGAGCCATGGGCTGCTGTGAGCCATGGGCTGCTGTGAGCCATGGGCTGCTGTGAGCCATGGGCTGCTGCCAATGATGTTTGCCACATCAGTCAGTCACCTCGCCTCTTCTTTTCTTCTCCCCTCCTCCATTCTCCTCCCCTCTCTGGTATCCGCCTCTGCTTCCCCCCCAGTCCGCTGACTCTGGGCTGGGCAGCAAGTGGCAGGTGTATGTGGCGATCATGCTGTTCGCCATAGCAGTCAAGGCCGCCCTCTACTTCTACTGCCGCAGATTCACAGGCAACGACATCGTCCTGGCGTACGCTCAGGTCTGTCCAATAGAACACCATGTAGGTGCCATGGTTTCAATACGTGGCATCTCGAACAAAACTGATCTACTGCCGCATCTTCACAGGCAACGATATCGTCCTCGCATACGCTCAGGTAAGATGATCCTCTAGCCGACATGCCATGCGCTCAGGTGACTTCGGGGGCGCCTCAGAAGCAGTCAAGGCCGCCCTCTACTTCTACTGCCACAGATTCACAGGCAACGACATCGTCCTCGCATACGCTCAGGTCAGGCATTTTATTAGTCGTCATAAACATGGCACCACCATGGCACCACCATGACACCAACATGACACCAACATGGCACCACCATGGCACCAACATGGCACCACCATGGCACCACCATGGCACCAACATGGCACCACCATGGCACCAACATGGCACCACCATGGCACCACCATGGCACCAACATTACACCACCGTCCCCGCACACCATTTCTTTGACATCGTGACAAACACGGTGGGGCTGGCAGCTGCCTTTTGAGTCGACTCAGAAGTCACCTCAAATACCACACCATCATTCCACCACCACCCCACCACTGTGTCTGCAGGACCATTTCTTTGACGTGGTTACAAACGTCGTGGGGCTGGCGGCTGACTGTTGAGTCGACTCAACGGTCACCTCGAAAACCACCCCACCACTCCACCACCATTCCACCACCCCTCCACCACGGTGCCCGCAGGACCATTTCTTTGACGTGGTGACAAACGTCGTGGGGCTGGCGGCTGCCATTCTTGCAGGGGTCGTTGCCTGGTGGATCGACCCTGTTGGCGCCATTCTGGTACGCTCTACCTGCTGTCCACCGTCCTTTCTCAATCCTACCCCTCTGGGTTTCGGTTCCAATCAAAAAGCTTGCAGGGGCCGTTGCCTGGTGGATCGACCCTGTCAGCGCCATTCTGGTATGCCCTCCTGTAATCCCCTACCATCCACCCAGGCCATCCACCCCTGCTATCCACCCCTGCCATCCAACGCCTCATTATGCCAAAGTGTCATCAACCTCACACGTAACCGTCACAAGCCAATCCACCTTGCGTCCCTCCCCCAGCTCCTTCTCTACACCATGATCAACTGGGGTAAGCTGTTCTCTCCAACCCTGTTCTCTCCAACCCTGTTCTCTCCAACCCTGTTCTCTCCAACCCTGTTCTCTCCAACCCTGTTCTCTCCAACCCTGCTTGCTTTACCCCTTCGTGTTGCCTCAACGCCCGGTCTTCCCTTCCTCACCTCACCCTTCCCTCTCTTCCTTCCCGAACCCCAGATTAACGTCAAATCAATGCCTTCTCACCCTCGCCGCACTTTGTTTTTCTCCCTTCCTTCCCTTGCTTGAGGATGTCAATTTGTTGCCTGTTCCCCCTGTCCCTTTCCCCCGATTTCCCCTGCTCCTTCTCCCCACCCCACCCTATCGCCCTGTACGCAATGATTAACTGGGGCTACCACACGGGATGTCCACTTGTCGCCTGTTCTCCGTCTCTTCCCTCCCTTCCTCTTCCCTTCCCCGCTTCCCCCTCCCCCCCAGCTCGCCCTCTACACGATGATCAACTGGGGCCGCACGGTCCTCGAGAACGTCAACCCATTCTCGTATCCTCCTCTTGAATTCAGTCTTTTCCCTCTCTCCCTTCCCTCCACCCCCCCCCCCCCCCCTCCCAGCTCGCCCTATACACGATGATCAACTGGGGTCGCACGGTCCTGGAAAACGTCAACTCCCTCACGGGCCGGTCAGCGCCGCCAGAGTTCCTGCAGAAGATAACGTACCTGTGCTGGAACCACCACGAGGCCATCCTGGCTATCGACACCCTTCCTTTCCTTCCTTTCTTTCTGTCCCTTCCATCCCTTCCTTCCCTTCCTTTCCTTCCTTCCATTCCTCCTCCCCTCCCCTCCCCCACTCCCCCGTCCTCCCCCCCCTCCCCCCCCCCCCAGCTCGCCCTGTACACGATGATCAACTGGGGCCGCACAGTCCTAGAGAACGTCAACTCGCTCACAGGCCGGTCAGCGCCGCCCGAGTTCCTGCAGAAGATAACGTACCTGTGCTGGAACCACCACGAGGCCATCCTGGCTATCGACACCGTGCGCGCCTACACCTTCGGCACACTCTACTTCACTGAAGTGGATGTCGTGCTGCCCCGTGACATGCCCCTTGAGGTGAGCGCGGTAGGGTGCTTGGGGTGAGGTGAGGTATGCTGCTTGGGGTGAGCTCAGAGTGATGGGAGCCGCCTACACCTTCGGCACGCTCTACTTCACGGAAGTGGATGTCGTGCTGCCCCGCGACATGCCCCTTGAGGTGAGAGATGCCACTTGGGGTGAGGCATGCAGCTTGGGGTGAGCCCAGAGTGGTGGGAGCCGCCTACACCTTCGGCACACTCTACTTCACTGAAGTGGATGTTGTGCTGCCCCGCGACATGCCCCTTGAGGTGAGAGATGCCACTTGGGGTGAGGCATGCAGCTTGGGGTGAGCCCAGAGTGGTGGGAGCCGCCTACACCTTCGGCACACTCTACTTCACTGAAGTGGATGTTGTGCTGCCCCGCGACATGCCCCTTGAGGTGAGAGATGCCACTTGGGGTGAGGCATGCAGCTTGGGGTGAGCCCAGAGTGGTGGGAGCCGCCTACACCTTCGGCACACTCTACTTCACTGAAGTGGATGTTGTGCTGCCCCGCGACATGCCGCTCGAGGTGAGCGCGGTAGGGTGCTTGGGTTGAGCGATGCTGCTTTGGTTGGGCTCACGGGTGATAGGAGAGGTGATAGATGCAAGTCGAGGGTCTTGGGGATGAGTTATGCCGCTCGAGGTGAGGTGTTGAGTGCACTTGAGGGTTCCTGCAGAAGATAACGTACCTGTGCTGGAACCACCACGAGGCATCCTGGCTATCGACACCGTGCGCGCCTACACCTTCGGCACACTCTACTTCACGGAGGTGGATGTTGTGCTTCCCCGCGACATGCCCCTTGAGGTGAGCTCGGGTTGATTGGGGTGAGCTGGGGATGAGCCCAGGGTGATTGGGGTAGCCTACACCTTTGGCACGCTCTACTTCACGGAAGTGGACGTCGTGCTGCCCCGCGACATGCCCCTTGAGGTGAGCGCGGTAGGGTGCTTGGGGTGAGGTGAGGCATGCTGCTTGGGGTGAGCTCAGAGTGATGGGAGCAGCCTACACCTTCGGCACGCTCTACTTCACGGAAGTGGATGTCGTGCTGCCCCGCGACATGCCCCTTGAGGTGAGCCCAGGGTGATTGGGGTGAGCCCAGGGTGATTGGGGTGAGCCCAGGGTGATTGGGGTGAGCCCAGGGTGATTGGGGTGAGCCCAGGGTGATTGGGGTGAGCCCAGGGTGATTGGGGTGAGCCCAGGGTGATTGGGGTGAGCCCAGGGTGATTGGGGTGAGCCCAGGGTGATTGGGGTGAGCCCAGGGTGATTGGGGTGAGCCCAGGGTGATTGGGGTGAGCCCAGGGTGATTGGGGTGAGCCCAGGGTGATTGGGGTGAGCCCAGGGTGATTGGGGTGAGCCCAGGGTGATTGGGGTGAGCCCAGGGTGATTGGGGTGAGCCCAGGGTGATTGGGGTGAGCCCAGGGTGATTGGGGTGAGCCCAGGGTGATTGGGGTGAGCCCAGGGTGATTGGGGTGAGCCCAGGGTGATTGGGGTGAGCCCAGGGTGATTGGGGTGAGCCCAGGGTGATTAGGGTGAGCCCAGGGTGATTGGGGTGAGCCCAGGGTGATTGGGGTGAGCCCAGGGTGATTGGGGTGAGCCCAGGGTGATTGGGGTGAGCCCAGGGTGATTGGGGTGAGCCCAGGGTGATTGGGGTGAGCCCAGGGTGATTGGGGTGAGCTCAGGGTGATTGGGGTGAGCCCAGGGTGATTGGGGTGAGCCCAGGGTGATTGGGGTGAGCCCAGGGTGATTGGGGTGAGCCCAGGGTGATTGGGGTGAGCCCAGGGTGATTGGGGTGAGCCCAGGGTGATTGGGGTGAGCCCAGGGTGATTGGGGTGAGCCCAGGGTGATTGGGGTGAGCCCAGGGTGATTGGGGTGAGCCCAGAGTGATTGGGGTGAGCCCAGGGTGATTGGGGTGAGCCCAGGGTGATTGGGGTGAGCCCAGGGTGATTGGGGTGAGCCCAGGGTGATTGGGGTGAGCTCAGGGTGATTGGGGTGAGCCCAGGGTGATTGGGGTGAGCCCAGGGTGATTGGGGTGAGCCCAGGGTGATTGGGGTGAGCCCAGGGTGATTGGGGTGAGCCCAGGGTGATTGGGGTGAGCCCAGGGTGATTGGGGTGAGCCCAGGGTGATTGGGGTGAGCCCAGGGTGATTGGGGTGAGCCCAGGGTGATTGGGGTGAGCCCAGGGTGATTGGGGTGAGCCCAGGGTGATTGGGGTGAGCCCAGGGTGATTGGGGTGAGCCCAGGGTGATTGGGGTGAGCCCAGGGTGACTGGGGTGAGCCCAGTGTGATTGGGGTGAGCCCAGGGTGATTGGGGTGAGCCCAGGGTGGTCTGGGTGAGTGGGGGGGGTGATAGAGGTGAGCTGAGGTTGAATGGGGTGAGCTGAGGGGTAATCAAGGTAATCATGTGAGCTACATCACGTTGCCATTGCGACCTCCATCAAGTGTGAGGGGATCGCTTCCGTAAATAAGGTCCATGGGTTCAGAAACTGAGGGGTTGTGAGTCTTTAAGATCGTAGTGACCTCGACTCACCATCACAACCCGAATCCTAATCATGAGGTGAGGTCTCCCTCCCTTGACCTCTCCCTCCCACCTCCCATCTCGTCCTCGTTCTCCCCCGCCTCTTCCCTCCCTCCCTCCCTCCCTCCATCCCTCCGTCCCTCCCCTCTACTCCGTCTGTTCATGTCTGCTCCTATGGCAGGAGACGCATGACATAGGCGAGTCGCTGCAGAACAAGCTGGAGCGGTTACCGGAGATAGAGCGTGCGTTTGTGCATCTGGACTACGAGGTGGAGCACAGGCCAGAGCACCATCAGCACTCCTCCTTCCCTGCTCCCCCCGCTGCACCCATCATCACAACCCTCCCTCCACCGGACACCCCCACTGGATGATCGTTGTTGTGGTCGGTTCCAGGCTGATTTATTTCACAGCGTGACTTCGAGCTGTTGGTTAGTCAAGAGTAAAATTTACGTAATTGTAATATGGCACATGGAAATGTGCTCCGCTTACTCCGTTTATGTTAGTAGAGTGGCTTGTTTTTTCCTGGCGCAAGTTGCAGTAATGCAGTGCTGTCCAGAAGTTCTGATAAGCTACTACTATGGTTGGTTGTTGTATTCCGTTTTTTTGCAGACTTTCTTGCATGCATCCTCCATCCATAGGTCCTACATTCGTTTGGAGAACAACTCATTGGAGAAATTTATCCTGTGGGCTCATTTGAAATGAATATAGATCATAAGTACATGATTAAATAGACATTGCTTTTCTTCGAGAAGCCGAATCTTTCCGTTGACCGTGGCTCGTCATTCCCAATGCCGTTTCGCCTGACATCCCGCCACAACAGCACCTTCCCTCCAACCAAACCAAACCCGAATTCGGTAGCAGTCAGTTGGTCGGACAGTCAAACTTGGTTGTGGATTCAAGGGAGCACAGCAGGGGCACCAGATACGCTTAGCAGTTCCGCTGGGATATTCCTATTATGCTAGGTTGCACTTCCCAGGCTGTTTTGTGAGATTTTTAGTTCTTCCATTCGTCTTGACGATTGTAGGCTCTGAGACGCATTGCTAAGACGCCGTGGGTCAAGTGTTTGAGCATCCCTCCTTCCGTCAACGGTTTGCGGTTGATTCGCGTGGCATGATCAGCCAAGGCGCAGCTGCTAGGTAGATGACGAGGGGACATGACGTAAGTCAGTCGTCGCGTTCCTTCTCTATCCGTAAAGCTCGTTAAATAATCCTGTTCGACACTACTCTTGGCTGTTAGGACTGAGTAAATCTGGTAGAATTTTGAAGTCACACTGCTAAACTATTCCCAGTGACGATCCGACATGGCGACACGAAATCGAACACCCGTTTTCATAAAACATCGAGATTCTCTCAAGTCAACTAGACCAAACGCCGGAGCCGCTCGCGATCTTGATCAGGTGGAAAAGGGATGGGGGACGGGAAGAAAAGGAGGAGGCTATGTACAACTAACTCGGCTAGACACTGGAGAGAGGTATGCTCATGTGTGTGTTGATTATCCTTATTGTTGATTGAATTTGAAAGATGCTGTCAGCCATTCCGCCATGCTATAGCACAATTCCTGTTGGGATGTTCTGCTGAGAAGCTTTCCGAAGGTAGGTTCAACAGTTGATTTTTTTTCTTTTTTTACACTCACGCTCTGGTTCAGGCTATCAGCAGGGACGTCAGGAGCAGCAACCTCGCAACCAGCCGCTTCCGGTGGTTTGGGAAGTCCACGCCTACCTCCCGTGTGGGTAGACGTGTCGGACAAGATAAAGGACGATATGCAAAAGATTAGAGGGAAGATGGGTGAGCTAGCGAAGGTCCAGGCACGCGCGTTGCTACCGTCGTTTGATACGGACGATGCGCGGGGGAAGAAGAACGAGCACGAGAGAACCATGGAGGTTCTCACTGCGGAAATCACGCGGTCGCTGAAGACGTGCGAGCAGCGGTTGCAGCAGCTTTCGCGAAAAGAAGCGACGTCAGCGGGGAATGCTGCCATTGCGCGCAACGTTCAGGTGAGCTGCGAATGTTGATGTGACTGAAAGGTGCAGATTCGGATTCGGCGATCACATAAAACCTGGAGAGATTAACAAAAGCTCAAGAGACACACATTTCTTTCGCAGGTTCCCACTGATGTTGTCTATTTGTCCCATTCCATCTTTCCCACCTTACCCCTCCTCTCCCCCACCCACCCCCATCCCTCCTCATCACCCCATCAATTCCCCATTCTCTGTTGTCAGAGATGCATGGCCACGGATTTGCAACAACTTTCCATGGATTTTCGCAAACAGACGAAGCAGTATCTACGGCGGTTGCAACAGCAGCAGCAGCCTCAAGAAAAGGTGTGTGTGTGTGTGTGTAGCAGACGATGGTTGGCTGAGAGCATGTGCGCCTGCGGACTGGTTGATTTGAACCCAACGTGGTCGTATAAGGTCATTTTTAAAGTCGCAGAGAGAGGTCTATGAAGTCGGAAGAGCCATATCAACACCAAGATACGTGACCTTTCAGGCAGATTACTTCTTCCCTCAATTTCCCTCCGTCCTCAACTTGTGAAGTGCTTTTTATTGCCACTGTGCATGTCAGGCTGTGCTGGGCCGTGCTGGTGCTGGTGGGTCGGCAGGCAGGCTACACGAAGCATCCTCCAGTGCAGCGCAGACAGATGACGATGACTACTTTGACCCAGTAAGCACTTCTCTTTTCTCCTCCCCCACCTCCACCTGTCTCTCCTCCCTCCTTCTCCTCTTCCTTTCTGTCTCTCTCTTTCCCTGTCGCTGTCTCCCCTCCCTTTTTTGTTTCCTTGTCGCCTTTCACAATCTACTATGTCCGTCTTCCTCCTTTTCCACCCTTTTTCCCACTTCCATTTCTCCCACCATTGCCATTAAATGACTTGTTGCCATTCACCATGTAACCCTGCACTTGTCGTAAACCCTACCCACCTTCCCGGCTCTTCCTTCGTCCCCACCTCTTTTCACCAGCTCCGTATCTGTTTGCTGATTTCTTTGTCAGCATCATTTGATCAACATCATCCATTAAGCATGATTTCCTCAGCATTGTCAGTCTCGCTGGATCAGCATCCTCTGATCAGCGATATCAAAATCATTCAATTATTTAATCATTCAATCAGCATATCCGCATTACGAGCATCACCCATTGAGCTTTTTACATTCATCAATTCAGCATAATCAACATCCTTTCATCAGCGTTAGTGACAGCATGAAATCAGCACTCTCAGCATCTTTTAATTAGCATTGTCAGCGACATCTGGTCGGTGTTATCAGCTTCACTTGAACAGTGTTATCACCAATATCCAACTATCATTACCGGCATCAATTGATTAGCATTATCAGCATCACCCTTTCCTCATCATCTCATCACCATTATGAGCATCATTAGATCACCATATTGAGCAGTATGCTATCATCGTTATCAACATCATCCAGTCGTCATGATCAGCATCTCTCGATCAGCATCTTCAGCATCATTTGATTGCACTGACCGTTTGCACGGTTGTCCTGCAGGAGTTTGAGGAGCGGCAGCTGCTGCGAGTGAGGCAGATGGAGAACGTGACAGCAGAAAGGGAGAAGGAGATTCAAGAGGTGAGCCGCCTTAAATAAAATAGTCAGACGCCCTGGTGAGGAAAGAGAATTGACTAGTCAGTGTCACTCTGTTGCTTGAACCATGAGCTGAGCTACGGTGCAGTCTTCTTTCAAATGTTTCCGCCTTTGCTGAATAGCTTCTCTTTCATGTCCTATTCCATCTGCAAACTCTATTTCCTCCCTCCCTTGGTTCCATTCCTGTCTGTGTCCCACTGTGGAACAGATTGTGCAATCAGTGCATGACCTCGCCCAGATCATGAAGGACATTTCAGTCCTTGTCATCGATCAGGTGTGAACAAATGCCACATTGCTTGCTGCTCCCACTTGTTTTACTCCCATGTTTTTGTGTCGCTTTTCTCCATATGTATCTAAGCATGACTTGCGTGTTCGTCGTTTCTGTTGGTGTTAACGTTTGCTTTGCCGGTTGCGTGGGCTGCGGTGCTCTGCTGTGCTGGTGTGCAGGGAACCATTGTTGACCGAATTGACTACAACATTCAGAACATTAGTGCAAACGTGGACAAGGGCGTTGAGGAGCTCAAAAAGGTAAGTTGTGTTTACGGTGCAACCATGCTTAGGCAATAGCGTAACTTTCCCATCCGTTTCTTCCTAACAATGAGTCGTCTTTTGCACCGTCATATTTTGCTATGTTCTTTTTCTTCCAGGCTGAGAAGACCCAGAAACAATCAGCCCTCATCTTCTGCATACTGGTCCTCGTGGTGGCGGTCTTGGCTCTCTTTGTCATTCTCATCCTTAAGAAGCTCATATTCTGATGACACCTGCTGCTATGGCGCATCTTGGCTTGGTTTGCTGTTGGCCCGCTTCTAACAAGATTGGATAAATATTGTATGGATTGGTTTTGGCAGCTGGGCCGGACTCCTTCACGAAAAGACGAAGGTAGCAAAGTGGAGCAAAACTAGGCTAGAGCAATGCAGTGAGTATGTAAACATACGGGATCTAGTGCCTTCCATGGCCTCTGTCAGACTATTTGTCTGACTTGCAGCACGTGCATGTCTGCAATGCCGAGTATTACCTGAAAGGGCAGGTCTCTACTCTAGCTAAGCTTGCACATGGTCTCAGCATGATGATTTTTTCCACCTAGTTTAGGGTGCACACGTGGTCCATAAAATCCCTAGGAGTGCAAGTTGCACTGTCCTGCTAAGGTGCATACCCACATCCAATATTTCAACTGCAACTCAGTTTTAAACACTTGAAGGTAAACAAATCAGTGTGGGTGTTCTTGAAGACTTGCGTGTACGCAAGTCTGTTCATGTTGAGGACACAAAACGGTTGCATTTCCGAGTCGCTGTGCTTTCGAAATCTTGGATTGCGCGGTCCGGGCAAGGCGGGAACTGCTACACATCGGCACCTCCCCAGCACCTGCCAAAACACATCCAGATCCCCCCCATTCCTCCAAACTGAATCCGCGTTGCGCGACACAATGTGTGGGGTGGATTCGTCGTGCCTGACTCTCCGCCTTCTCGTCAAACTCCTCCCACTAGGAGCTCGTAGCTCAGACAACCCAAAACTGTCTGACCAGACTAGTTAGTCCAGATAGACAAGAGCTGTCCCCCTCCGTCGCAAGGCGCCACCAACGCCCTCTAGTTAACGCATTATGAAGATTGATGTGCGCATTCCTGTCTTGCGGATTGGAAGCGGCTGTCTGCGCATGGAGAAGGACGTGTCTGTTGATGATGAGAGCGCGCGTGAGGGAACAGCCTTCCTCATCCACGTCGATCCAGTCTTCCAAGTTGCTTCTCTACTCTCCAGTGCTGACAGTTGCTTCTCACTCGTGGTAGAGAACGCAATTTGCCTTCTCAAACCGTTCAGATGTAGTTTTCTCATTTATTTCGCACCACAAAACCACGAAACTGCTTGATCTGAGGTTAGCTTGCGTCGCGTGTCGTGGCTGAGAATTAAGGGCACATTAGGTGGCTGATTCGTTTCGCCCCATCATGCGGATAATGGCCATCAAGCCACGACACGTCCTACAGTATAGAACCGCCACGATACGTCCACAGAAGTACCCAGCACTAGTACCAACTGTCCGCTTGCTCCTAATAGTTGGAGGAGACATGGTGGTTCGGCCGAAGAGGACAAGATCTGGCAATTCGTATCTGCACCACCAATGACCATGTCAACCGTATATAGCGCGTTAGTTTCTCAAGCAACGCGTATAATTTACTGTAACTACTTGATCCAACCACGGCGTACGGCTCGGTACGTTACGGTGCCGCACTGGCGGACGCGAAGGCCGTTGGACGAAAATTACCCACGTGTAAGAAAAAAAACCGCTTTCTTATCCACTCCGACCACGTGTGATTCCAATCAGATGCTGCTATGATGCGTGTCCGTAGCGGTACATCCAGCGAAAGTGCTGCCTTGCCACCTCAGCAGCCCCTCTTTTATTGTCGTCAATAATAGAAACCGAAGCAATATTGAGTTACCATAAACAGTTGATTCAGGCACATGCTGCCATGATGTCCGTCCGTATCGGACATTTCAACGCACATGCTGCCTCGCCACCTCAGCAGCACCTTGCCGCGGAGTCATCCTGACGTGGTGCAGATGTCACCAACGGATCCGATCTAGATTGCGCCAGCGTCCACCCCGCTGCAAGCTGCTGTCGCGAGGTTTCGGCTCGGTTTCGGTTCACAGTTATATAGATCACGGCGCGCGTGAGGTTAATTGTCTCACTGTACTCGACGATAGATATCTCACAGACAAAACACCGCACGCCCGAATCGGGGATCCCCTCTCCTCCATCCACTCGCTCCTCCTCTGTCTGCTACAACCCCCCTCCCCCCCCCCCCAATCTCCCCTACCTTCCGTGAACACCTCATCTGCGAGCCGCTTGTGATATTTCTCATACGGAACGCCTCGTCTGCGGCGCGGAGCTGACCGGGAAAAAGGGGTGCCTACAGTACTGCTGCTGGTACTAGCACAGTCAGTAGTATTTTACTGGGCCACGAGGGATGCGACAATCACAATATGCGTTCCGCCTTCTGCTCGCTCCCAACTCCAATATGAATCCATGTTCCCCATTTTTGTCTCTAAATCACCCAACATGCCGACATGTTGGGGAGTCCCCTTCCCGTTTCCGCTTCCCCCTCCCATGAAGATCTCGTCCGCCTACGAGCCTCAACCTCCGCCGCATCCTTCCACCTCTTTCCCCCTTCCTACCAAACCTCTGCCCCCTCTCCCCCGCTCCCCCCCACTCCCCCTTTAACCCAACCACTTGTGCCCCGCGCACAGCCATGGACGAGAGGCGGCGATCTTCCCGTGATTCTGGCTGTTGCTTCCAGAAGCCTCGCCCATCAACTTGAAGACACAGAAGGATAGGCCCCCTGTCTGTCCCCGGGATATGCCACAGGCCCCCTACCTGTCCCCGGGACATGGCAAGGGCCCCTGTCTGTCCCCGGGACGGGACATGGCAAGGGCCCCTGTCTGTCCCCGCGGCATGGCACAGGCTAGTCACCAGCATCATCAACTGGTTGCTCGCTGGATATAAAAGCGGCCCGAATCTCCTGAATTAGCATCATGCTATTCAGTGCTTTCCTGTTCAGCCTCCTGTCTCGCCCGCTTCAGCTCATGCAACCCACTCCTTTGATCCGAACTCTTGCTTCCTTCATTTGCACGTTCGACTCAAAGCTGTCATAGACGTCTAACCTGAGCAGTGCTTTTTTAAGGTTTAATACATAATCTTTCTCAGCCCCGCTCGTGTACCTGCGGTGCCTGCCAGCGAATTGCATGCAGCCATGGCGGTAGCTGGAATCCCAAGCTGCCACGTGGAAACACGGTGCCTCCTACTAGGCGCCAAACGCGGGCGGAATTCGGCCCACGAGCAGCTCAACGGTCCCCAGCAGGCCCACGCGGTTTTTCCGAACCTGAGCTTTGGCCAGCACTGCCAGCCACAGCTGCAGAAGCAGCAGCAGCAGCAGCAGCAGCAGGAGCAGGAGCAGGAAGAAATTCACCAGATTCAGAAACACTTGGATGTGCACATCGCTCACCCGGCGAGGAGTCACGGGCACGAACACCATGGACGCTCTCAGGCGGAGCCTCACGACCGCCAGAGCATGCCTGCTGAGCGACAGAAAAAGCGGCCTGGCAGCCTCCTGTGGCATAATGGTGCAGCAGCAAAGAAACGATGCTGTGGATGGACAGGAGAGCAGCAGGAGGAAAGACCTGCCGCTGCCAGGAATCCGCACAATCCCTCCACACTGGGAGGAACAGCAGGCGGCGGTGGTGGGAGTGGCGGACTTAAAGCCCCAGCTGCCGCTCACATCATGCTGCATGCTGCCGTCTTTCCAGGTTGTATCAGCCCTCTGGCAAGCTCACGCGAGACCACCACGAGGAGCAGTGGTAGCTTGCTGACTCCTGCAAATCGTTGGGCAGGGGCTCATCGTGATGTTGTGTCTGGTGGTGATTCGGGTGGCAAGGACTGTGCCGACTTGTCTGCCGTCTCGCCAGCTGTCTCACCTGCAGTTTCGCCTGCCGCTCCGCCTGCCGTCTCACCTGCCGTCGCACCTGCAATCTCGCCAGACGTCGCACCTGCCGTCTTCCCTGTCCTCGTCCCGGCCCTGGTCCCTACCCTCTTCCCTCTCTCATTCACTCACCCCACACATGCCTACCCTGTTCCATCCTTTGCCAGTCTCCTGAATTCCATCTCGCCCGCCCGGCAACTCCACCGCCGAGTTGCCTCTGCCCCTGCCGCCTCTTCTGTCTGCGGCCCCAACAACAGGCGCAACAACTGGTGCGAATCTCCATGTGCTACAGCAGGCAAGGAGCAACCGCAGTCCAAAGCCCCAGTGCACAAGCAGCAGGAGTTGCGGAGTGGTGCTGAAGGTGCTGGTTGCTCCTTGTCTCGGTCCACAGAGACATGTGTGCTGGAGATGGATGACCCTTCCAAGAGCTCCCACACTAATGAGAATGTGCTTGCAGCACCACAAAGTTTGCATGGTGCACAAGGGGGGTATGTTGCAATGCGACGGGCTCGCTCCATGTCAGGGAATTGCTTCATCGCACAAGGCGTCCTTCCATTGCGAGGAAACATGCCAGTGCATGACGGAACAGAGACTTGTCAATGTGCTGATGATGACGATGAACTACAAGATACTGCCTCGTCGTGAAGGCATCGTGCCATACAATTTTGCTATTAGTTTTGCTAGTTTTTTATGTGTTTCTACAATTTTGATATTAATACACGAATTCAGTACAGTGTATCATGCGGTTTCTTAAGGCGATTTTTTTATTTAAAGTTTGAGTCACTACCGGACCTCAGTGTTCTTATCTTCCTACAGACGCTTGAGAAGGCAAGTGACTATCACCTTCAGCTATAGGAGACCAACATATGACGAGCATGAAGTGCAATGGAAGCACTGCACAACGTTTGCTATAGAACCCTTAAAAAGAGGCAAATGTTAGGACTTGAGCCAATCATTCGAGCCCAAAACCAATTTACCACAATTGCTCTACTATCGGTGGCCCATCCCAATCCCACTGCATGGACCAAGGCAATTCTTGTGGTTGGTATTTTCTTACGGACATCTTTTTATGAAAATATGTATGGAAATTAGGGGCGATGGGGATTTAAACACGCAAAAGAGTGCATAACAGCTTGTATGCACCGCTTTTTTTGGGGAAATATTGGTGAACCATCCAATATAGAAATTGATAAACAGTTGTTGATCCCTAATCTATACGAGGAGTTGAGACCGGTTCTCACTATATTCTCAAAAGCTCCCCATTCAAATATTCCTTTAGAATTTTGAAGCGAAGGCTTCGCTAGTGGCACCTCATATTCGGTGTGTCCAATCGGCAATCTGCGTCGACGGTATCTGGCGGGAAGCGCCACCACCACCCACCAACTCCCCATCTCCCCGCGCTGCAGTCCCCAGCTCCATTGGGGGAAAGTCAGATTGCGCCCTTTCTCCCACCCCTCCCCGCGGGCTGGCGATTCGTCTCCCCCTGGCTTCGCCTCCAACGCTTTCTTCCTCCTAGTGGCTACTTTCTGTTTCAACCGCTTTGCTTCTATTTGCGATCTCTCCACCTTCTGTTCCTCGCATTCTCGTCTCGGCCGAACTCTTTCTCGCCTTTGTCTCGCCTAGTCTCGTACCATCTCGTCGCAGCTCGTCGCTACTAGCACTCTCCTAGAACATACGGAGGCGAAGACGGTTATTTTGTGCGACGCATGGTTTCGCGAGCAACACATATTGAATAGCGACCTCTCGTTGCGGTTTATGAACAGAAGATATAGAAAACGCGTCATTTTTTCATTCCGGGTCAGTAGAAGACGAAATAGTACTGTCCTCACTTCCGTCCGCTCGTGCGGGACTACAGTAGTTCCGTGACAGCTGGCGAAACGCACACTGTACAGTACTAACGGTTCCCGACTAATTTCGACCTCATCTGACTCCTCAACAGAGTGATCAACGGATTCACGAGTTATGAGTCATGATGTCGAAGTTACTGCGGTTCACGGCAGCATCGTTTGTCTCGTTGCGTTCTGGAGATATCGGCTTGATGCCTGGAGGTGCCTCGATCATGTCATGTCAGGCATCATGGAGGATTCGTAAATGCCGTGCTACGGGCTAGAAGACGGCACTTGATGTCCGTATCTCGGCAGGTTCAGGAATTGGGAGGGTTCTATGGTTGCATCGCTGGCAGCTATGCCGAGGCTTTGATTGCACAATCGTCCGTGCGGCGAGCAGAGTGCACGCGCGATATGGCAGAATGAGCCAATCACGGCGTACTTGTCGGCCCTTTGCACTCGGTAGGGCTCCGGTGGGAAGAGCGTGAGCGGAAGGAGGATCGATGGCAACGCCTCGAGGTTTGCGATTCAGCCCAGCTATTGTCGATAGAGCAGGCACGGTGCTCGGCCGAACAAGATTTCTACTCTTGTAGCCAATGCCATTACTGACCGCCAAGACCAAGCGCAGAACATGAGAATTTTCATAAGGGGTATGCTGCCCGTAAGTCCTGACCCCAGAGCTAAGAAACCGCTATGCACCCACTCGGTATAAAACTCCTCCGCGTCTTGTCCTGTCCTGCTCGAAGCACGCGTTTTCAGGATCGCTCTGTTGAGCAATCTGCGAGTTGCTGTCACATACTGCCACCGCGTGCAACATGGCCGCTCCGACTCGCATGCTGTTGCGAATCCGATATAGATCGCGCCGATATCTGCTCGCTGCACCCTGCCGTCGTGCTGTCACGGCTTTATTTTCCCGCCGTAGAACCAAAGCGAGTTGCGAGGCTCTGCCAGCAGCTCGCAATCGCAACTCGCAATGATTTCCGAGGATCTCCACTACTCAGTGCTGATTGGCGAAGCTCTGCCAGGCTGGCTCTTCCTCCTCCGCTTCCTCCAATCCCAAGTCCTCCCCGGTCTTTCTTATCCCGAAAAACGCGTGTTTGCGGGAGCTTCTATTTCGGGAAGTGCAGATTGGGAAGCCGTAGGGGTGACCCGATTCCCGAATCATTGATCTAATCACTCAGTGATCGCCCCATCTGCCCATACCCCCCCCAGTCCGATATCAATCTGCGCCACCCCCCATTATCGTCTGCTAGCAAAGATCCGCGCTCTCTCACTCGGCGTCAATATCTCTGTGTCCTCCTTCCGCGCAAACTTTCCCCCCTCCGCTTCTCTCCTCTTCTCCCCCTTCCCCGTCCCGTCTCTCCTCTCCCCTCTCCTCTTCCCCCTCCCCCTGCTCCCCCTCCACTCCCTTCTGCGCGAGCACTAGCGTCCGCCCGCCACCGCCCCGCAACTCCAAGTTGCGCCTTGCTCTCTCACTCCCCCGCCCCGCTTTTGAGACGTGCAAAAGCTTCTCCACTCGTGTAGTGTCACTGATAGCCCCACTCTCGGTATATAAACATGTCTCCAGAACACTCGCAATACCGTGGCCTTCACTGCTCCAATTTCCCAGCCTCCTATCCCGCCTGTCTCTCGCTTAGAACTCGTAACCTCTCTCTCACCACTGGCGTCTCCCTTTCAGTCGCTCGTTTGCAGCCTGCGTCTACTCCGACATCCCTGGTGCTTCTCCCAGATTTTTACCAGAGTATCCCACATCCCTGCACCATCTCCTGTTTCTACGTGACCACTTCCCAAGGCTGTCTGCTATCATCACATCACCACCAGATCTGACTCAGATCCACCTTAACTCGTCTACCCCACTCATCCACCCATCCATGGCGGTCACCCCCGGCCACCACATGAGCACGGTTCCGCTGCTGCGTGCAAGTGACCAGGTCCAACGACTGGTTCCTCTCGCGGAGTTCCACTGCCTTCCCCAAGCAGTGTTTCCAGGCCACCTGACCGTCAACTTCAGCCCAGACTGCCAGCAGCAACAGCACTCCCAGTGGGAGCACCTCTACCCGCATGAGGCGAGGCGGCAGCATGAGCATCAGCAAGAACAGAAGGAGGAGCAGAAGCGGCCGGCTAGCCTCTTGTGGCATGGCGTGGCGAAGAAACGATGCTTTGCATGGAACACAGAGCACAGCTCGCTTCCTCCTCACTTGACGGCCTACTGGCGTGCTGCTGATGACGCTGCTGTTGCTACTGCCACTCCTACTGCTGCAACTCCTGCAACCGTGCATTGGATGGTTTCTAAGAATGCCGCTGCAGCAGGAGCTGCTGATGACTCTGCTGGTCTCAAGGGTCTCAACAACCCCATCATGACTCGTCACAATTGGCACAAACAACAGCACCACCATCACCATGACAAGGCAACAGTGATGAAGGCCTGTGCAGCTGAAGAGGCGACTCTGCTACCTACCAGCGCTACCACAACCAGCACCACCAGCGGAGCCAGCGCTGCCAGCAACAGATCCGCCAGCAACTTGAATGATGAGGAGTGCATCCCTTGGTGCAGTGATGGGGCGTCTCAGAGCCCTTCTTCTCACCTCCAGGGTGCTGAGACTACGGCACACGCGGCTGGCTGTGCCACGTGGCAGCCTGAGGCGGCCATTCAGGGCCTGCAGCACGCAGCTGTCTTCACGTGCAGCTTTGGCCCGGAGGCGGGTACTGGCGACACCGTTCCCTCCTCTATGAACACACGCATCCCGCTTCCCCACGTGCCCGTTACCCATGGTTGCGCGGTCGCCCCTCTGCCGTTTAACAACCCTGCACACGCCCACCATGTTCCATCCTTCGCCGGTCTTTTGAATTCCATCTCACCTGCCCGGCAGCTCCACCGGCGGGATGTCTCCGCCCCTGCCGCCTCTGCTGTCTGCTCTTCTCGCAACCACTCGGTTTCTCCAAGCCTTCCAGTGAAGGAAGCGCAGCTGCCTCCAGAGGCTCAAGCTCAGCAGCAGGAGAAGGAGAAGAGTAGCGCATGCGACGTGTGCTTGGTATCTTTCTCTGGAAAGACGTGTGTGCTGAATAGTCCTTCCATGGGCTCCCGTTGCTCACAGCAGCAGAAGCAGGAGAGGTGGCAGAGGAGAGTGCAAGATCTGGTTGCACCAGGAGATGCGTTGCTAGGCTTGCATGATGGCCAGTTGCAATCTCCTGCAGAGCCCGGGATTTGCTCTGTGTCAGGCAATCCGACAGAGGGTTCTGAGGATGATGGGGACCTCGAGGAGCTACAGGACACTGCATCGTCTTGATTATTCTATACACGGTAGTCATTAACATATCGTACAGATCAAGATTGTTCAATATTGCTGAACTGCACCACAAAAGTGAGCAAGAGAATTTCGCTCTGCGAGAGGCATGATGAAGTATTGGTGAGTACTACAAGACTCGCTCCGAGGCTCCGGTCACCGGTTCGGTGAAAGCTTCAAAACCCCAGTCTAGCTAGGGTCCCTCCCTCGTTTGTATGCTTGTACTTGGCAATCACATCTTTGAAATTCGTCACTTTGTGCACTTTTCTATCAAAACTCACAACAAGTGCAGTGTGTGGTGAGGGTGAAGTCACTACCAAAGTAAAAGTAAAAAACGTTACTTCTGTTTTTTTATTTATGTGGTAAGCACAAATGCCAACATTCATCAATGCCACCTTGCAATGAAGTACACGCACCCATACAGTAGGACTCGTTAGGGTGCTTTTCTCTCAAGTTAGGCTAGGAACAAGTGTCGAGAGAATTGTGTGAGTCAGTAGGAACAATGGGATACAAGTCGACCTAGAGAATGTTGTACCCTTTAGAGGGCAACTCACTGTAGCCTAGATAACTAACATCTATAACATATAAACATTTGACACACCCCCATAGGCTAAGTGAGGGGCATGAAAGCAAGCAAGGTGAACAAACGGTCACAAGACCAGTCGAAGCAAGAAACAAGGCAAGCTCAGGGTGGATCTCAAGGACACCACACAAATTCCGAGCGCAAGCAAGCGGCCACAAGGCCAGTTCAAGAGTTCACTAGGATATAAATAGGAAGCACAACAAGCAGAGCAAACAACAAGACTACAGCAACCGAGGGCCTACCTCAACAAGCCCCAACTGCACACAGAACCTGTGGTGATCACCAAGCGCCAAGGCCTTGGTGAAGACGTCTGCAGTGTTGGCCTCTGAGGCCACAAAGTCCAGGCGTGCCTGGCCGCGTCGCTGCAGCTCTCGCAGGAGGAAGTACCTCACGTCAATATGCTTCACTCTGCTCTCCAGTCGAGGCTCTCGACACAGGAGGATCATGGCCTTGTTGTCAGCGTACAAGGTCGGTGCAGAGCGAGGCCGCTCACCAAGGTCGGCGAGCAAGAAGGTCAACCAGCGAAGCTCCTGTGCCGCCATGGCACCAGCGTAGATCTCTGCCTCTGCACTGGAAGTAGCCACAGACGACGACCGTGTCGACCTCCACGACACAGCACCAGCTCCCAGACTGACGCAGTAACCCTGAGTCGAACGCTGAGTCTCCACGTCGTCAGCGTAGGAAGAGTCGCAGTGACCAGTCAACGCCACTGGCCGAGTCCCTCCAAGCACAAGCCCCATGCCTGATGTAGTCGCCAGGTACTTCGCCACCCTCACAGCAGCTGTCCAGTGGACAGGGCGGTGTCTCCCAGTCGCAACAAAGCGAGAAAGGATGCTGAGTGGAAAGGCGAGGTCCGGTCGAGTACAAGTCATCAGGTACATGAGGCAGCCCACCAGCTCTGCGTAGGGTCCACTGGACTCGAAGGGCTCGTCAGGAAAGGGGCCCGTGAGTCTGTGGTCAACAGCAAGAGGAGTGGGCTGTGTGGTGGAGAACTGGAAGTCGAACCGCCGAAGGACCTGCTGCACCATGTGTGACTGCGTCAGTGTGATGGTGCGAGCGGCTCTGTCCCGGGTGATCTGCAAGCCAAGGTAACGTTGCAGCTCACCCAGGTCAGTGCACTTGTGTCTCTTCTGCAGTTCGGAATTCACCTGAGCCAGGGCTGCCGTGTCTGCTGTAGCAAACACCAAGTCGTCGACGTAGACAAGGATAAAGAAAGGAGTAGAACCCGCTCGAACAAACAGCGAGGGGTCGGCGGAGGACGGGCTGAACCCAAGGTCACGAAGCGTGGAGCGAAGAGTGTCGTGCCACTCACGGGGCGACTGGCGGAGACCGTAGACTGGTCGTCTCAGGCTCCACTGGGTCCCAGGTGGGAAGGTGTCAGTGAAGCCAGGAGGACGGCACAGCCAGATCTCCTCGTGCAGTTGGCCCTGGAGGAACGCAGTGGAGAACTCGAGGGAGTGCAGCTCGTAGTCTCGCTGCGCTGCTATGTGGAGTAACACCCGAAGAGTAGTCATCTTCGGGGTCGGGGCGAAGGTCTGGAAGAAGTCAACTCCCTCACGCTGACTGAAGCCCCTAGCCACGTAGCGCGCCTTGAACACTGGCGGTGCTCCAGGCGGCCGCTCCACCTTGAAGAGCCACATGCCATCGACTACGTTCGCCCTGGGAGGGGGAACTGCGTCGACGTAGGTGCCTGTGGATCTCCAAGACGCCAACTCTGAGTCCATAGCCGCTTTCCACTGAGAGGCCCACGCCCCTGACACTGCCTCGCGGTAAGTGCGAGGAGTCGGTATGTCAAGGGCGTCGGGATCTCCCTCAGGGGAGAGCAGCATGGCACACACAGAGGGAGAAGCGGCTGCCCAGTACTCCAGCTCAGACTCTCTGTCCTCTAGGACGTCACAGCCAAGGGCAAACTCACCCCCGACGGACAGAGGACGGTAGGGAGGAGCCGGCACCACTCGGGTGGCGTAGTCAAGGCGGCTGGCGGCAGCAAACTCAGCGACAGCGGCAGTAAGAGCAGAGACCGACGACGGAGGGAAACAAGAGTCGGCGACAAGAGTGGCGAGGACACGGGCGGCAACAGGACGAACAGTGCGGTAGTAGTCAGTGATAGGAGTGGGGAGGGCTGGGAGAGAGGACGGAGGAGGAAACGGGAGAACGGACACAGGAGAAGGAGAACGACGACGAGACGTACAAAGGAGGGCAGTGTGGAGGTCAGTAACAGGGGACGAGTGACGAGCACGCGGAGGACAACGAGTGATCAAGTCGTGACGGACCGAAGGAGGAGGAGACTGAGGAGGAGGAGAAGACCAGACCGCCGGACGGTCGTCAGGAGGAGGCAACGGAGGAACAAACACAGGAGGAGACTGGGAGCGGACAGGAGGAGAGGAGGAAAAGCCAAGGGCCCGCAGGCCACTCATAGGTGGGAACAACCGCCGCTCCAGAGGAAGCTGTGGTGGCGGCTGCGGCTGCTGCTGCTGCTGCCGCTGCTGCTCCAGAAGGTCCAGCACCCGCAGCTCCTGCCGCTCCCTCTCCAACCGCTCCTGCTCCTCACGCTCACGCCGACGGGCAGCCTGGAGTCGTGTGTCGTGGCGGTGGGGAGGCGGAGTGGACTCCGCAGAACCAGGGTCAGACTCCTCAGACTCAGCACCCCCAGAACCCGCACCTCCAGTGCCAGGACCTCCAACTCCAGCACCCCCAGAACTAGCACCGCCAGTGCCAGCACCCCGCGCTCCTGCACCCCCAAAACTAGCACCTCCAGTGCCAGCACCTCCAGCTCCAGCACCCCAAGAGCTAGCGCCACCTGCGCCAGCACCTCCAGCTCCAGCACCCCCAGAGCTAGCGCCACCTGCGCCAGCACCTCCAGCTCCAGCACCCCGCGACCGAGTACCCCCAGAACGAGCACCGCCAGCGGCTGCACCTCCAGCTCCAACACCAACCGAGTCCACAGTAACCTGTCGCGGAAGTGCCGAAGGCTGCTGAGGGGACTGTGAGGAGAACTGCGGGGAGGGAGACGCTACCTGACGCGCGACCGAGGGTAGAGGGGTAACGTGGGACACACCAGACGGGGCAGGACCAGGGGGGGGCGGGGGTACCGGAGGGGCGGGAGCAGGAGGAGGAGAGGGTGCGAGGAAAAGAGGGGGAGGGGGTACCGGGAGACCTCGACAGGGGTACCGGGTGTAGTAGGACACGGACTCGTCAAACCGGACGTCACGGGAGTCTAGGAACTGGTGGAGGGGAGGGTGGTAAAAGGACCAGTCGGCAGAGTCCACTGGGAAACCAAGGAAGACACAGGGGACGGCGCGTGCCGAGAGCTTGTCCGCGGAGGTGTCGCGAACAAGCGCAAGGCAGCCCCAGACTCGAAAGGCCGACCCGACACCAGGGGAACCAGTCCAAAGACTGGTCGGTGAAGCCTCGGGCCGCGAGACACGCGGCTGGAGGTTCAGCTGGTGTGCGGCGTAGCGAACCGCGTGGGGCCACAGAAAATGGGGCGCACGGGCATGGATCATGGACGTGCGGGCGATGTCCATGACCAAGCCTATGCGGCGCTCAGCAACCCCATTCTGCTGTGGGGACTCTGGCAGCGTCCAGGACTGGGTGATGCCCTGTTCGCCGCAGAATCCGCCGAGAATGCCGGAGCGAAACTCGCCCCCACGGTCGGAGTGGAGACAACTGACTCGACGACCACGAGTGCCCTCAGTGGCTAGAAGCCACCTGATCAGCGTAGCAGTCACCTCGGACTTCTTCGCAAGAGGGAACACTGTGGTGTACCTGGAGAAGTCGTCGACGACCACCAGAAAGTGGAGAGTCTCGAAGGGAGCGGTGGCCGGACGAAGGGAGGAGGAGTGGGGAGTGGCGCGTAAGCGACCGGCGACGCACGGAGAGCAAGGAGGGGCAGGCGAGAGAGGGAGCGACGGGAAGGTGCGTGGGAGACCTGAGACAAGTCCCTGACTGAGCATGCCACGTAGGCGAGGGAGCGACGGGTGGCCAAGGCGGTGGTGCCATAGGACGGTGCGGTGGGTGAGAGAGCGACAGGAGCAAGACGCAGCGACTGGACTGGACACAGCGACCGGACCGGACACTACTACCTGGCTAGACACAGCAACTGGACTGGGGACCTGGGCCGGAGGGGACGCAACGACCTGAGGGGAGGACGCGACCGGGGAGCGCTCGGTGTGGAGGACGTAGAGACCGGAGCGGGGCTCCCTGGTGAACGTGGCCAGAACAGCACCTGTGGTAGCGTCTGTACAGACTGCAGTCCGCCCACCCCCCACGAAGGTAACCGTGATCCCCCTGTCCTGGAGGTATCCAACACCCACCAAGTTCCGAGGGAACGAGGGGATGTGGAGGCCGCGCAGGACACCAGAGGGGACCACAGGGCACGGGAGGGTGGTGGAGCTACGCGCAACGGCTGGTCCAGAGG